TGGGGTTTGGATATGCAGCTAATAAGTATTTTGTCTGCTGCTTTGTTCTTTCAGAGCCATCCATCTTAGGCATGATAAAATCATTAGTGCTGGTTACGTGTCATCATGTAAATGCTTTATTTTGTTACACAGCAGTTACCAGGTGCCTTTTTTTTCCGATGCTGGCATTTAATTGTCAGGACATATATTTGTTACCTAAATTGCATCATATGATTTAATAAAAACTGCCTACGAAACAAGTAGATACACTGACAAAGGCAAAGCATTATTTAATTTATGAAATTTGTTACTAAAAAGGAGACTTCACTTCCCTCAGTGTTCGCTCATTGCTATTTATCAATGTTTGTTTAGGGCTGTAGTTGAACAAAGAACAGTAAATGCAATTTACTGTAGAAAGGCAAGGTCGCACGGCCTGGCTCCTAGTTAATTTATCTTTCATGACAGAGTCTATTTTCCGCTATTGGTATTATTACCCAGCAATGCATTTCTCCCATGATAGCACATTTGTAGCTCTTGCATTGCCAAACTTAGTGGTAGCATTTAATTTGTGTGACATTATTCAGTTATCAAGAAAAAGTATAGCGTGCTGAGAAACACAGTGGGTATTTAATGGTGGATTAAAAAAAAAAAAAAAAGAGTTTCTATAAGCAAGAGCAACGTCTCAAGCACTTTGCTGAAAGCCCTTTCAGAGGCTGTGCTATCTGGTTCCTGTCCTGGGAAACTGTGGGCGATGTAATCCAGATAAAAGCCAGGAAGTGCAAAAGCTCACACAGCAGACACAGAAAGAATTTGACAATTAAATATTTTAAATACTTTTCTTTTGGATACCTTAAGCAGTGGTAGCTGGTAGCACGCAAAGGCAGCAACATTGAATTATAGGGAAGTACTGAATGAGATCTCTAAGTAATCCAGTTCCTTCCCTTTCTCGTGTAAGACCAGCTCTGCATACGGCATTTTCAACAGAAGTTAAGCTAATCCATCCTTAGAGACCTACAGTCATGGAGAAACCATGTAATTCTTCATGAATTCCCTGTAATATTATACACGCCTGGTTCTGTAAGACATTCTGACATCCATACCCACATTAACCGGGATAGAAATGAAACAACTGACGTAGCAATGTAGCTCTAAAGAAGAACTCTCTATGGAGATTCCTAGCAGGATTCAATGGGGATTTGTTCTTGACACGTTATTTATTACCCTTATAAACCGAATGGCAGGGTAAAACGCTGGCTAGCAGTATTTCTGGGAGACAGGGAAGCTGGAATTGTATCACAGCCAATTGCATGGAAAGATCTGAATCACTTGGTAGTGGGCTGGCTTGAATAGCTCGTTTTAAAACAGACAGATTTGTGATCATACAGCCRAGGAATAAAAATCCTCATTTACGCAGACAAGATTGGACTAAGTATTCCAACACGATGYGACATCAAAAGAAGTCAGGGTTTTGGTGGATAACTAATGAGCAGGAGTCTCCARGAGGATGGTGCAATTAGGTGAGTGAATGTCACCCCTGAAGCCTGAGCAGGGAAAATACGAAGTGGGAGTAGGGAAGCTCTGTTCATAGCAAAAGCAGAGCCACCACAGGAACACAGTGTGCCCCACACTTCCAAAAGGATTCCCATGAACCTAGACGTGCTCAGAAATTCCTATAAAAATGCTGTGGGCTGTGGGAAATGTGCCTTATCCCAAGAGGTGGGCACATGCAACCTACTCATGGCAGCAAAAGGAAAAGCAAAGACAACTTCCACTAAAATGTAGAAGATGCTTTTGATAGTATTCCGCTTCTCAGAAGGCAAGGGAATGGGCTTCTTGGAAGGAACCTTAGAAGACTGGCTTCTTGGAAGAGAATCCACACCAAAAGACTGTTCGGGTTATTTTTCTCTTGAACAAGAGTTATGTAAGATCTCACTACAAGTAAAGCTCCTAAAAAAAGTAATAATAATAATAATTAACTGCAGTGCCAGAGATGTGGTAGATCTTCTACTCCATACTCTTATGTCTAAGTGTCTTTCAAGGGCCTTGACAATTTCAGAAGAAATTACAGACCCACTGCTGACWTTCAGAGCTGAGGTGCTATAGTTTGCAGGAACATAATGATCTCTTGCAGTCTCAAAAATCTATGATTAGCTCAACTAACATTACTTGCTTTCTTTAAACCCTRTTAAATTGTATTGATCTAGACCTGCTGAGGCAGTAGCTCTAAATCTTTCAAGTTTGAAAATAAGCTGTAACGCTGCACGGGTTTTGTGCAGGTTCACCACCACTGAAATCAATACCCTCGTGCTTTAAGATAGTCTTGAGGAGGAGGAGGAGACTGCGAGGCCACACTGAACCRCACAGCCTGTTCCCAACGCAAGAAAAGTCATTCGAGAGTAACATGGAACCACTGGAACTACTAAGTTTACTGAATTGAACTGGCTTTGTAGAGAGATCGGTTCTGCTGAATAGAAAAAAAACCCACATCCTTCAGTTTGTCATTATGTTTATACCTCTTTATGCTTGAAATAATATCTAACCATTAAGTGGTCCTGACTGCAAAAACACCAGACTGTGTTTTCAATAAATAATTCCACTTTAATGGCAAAGTAATAATTTAGACAGATACAGTGCGCACACCTGCAAAAAAATATCCGCAAGCTGGTTTACAAGCTAGAGGAACAATAAACCAATAGAAAATACATCATCCAGTTAAGTCCGATGACACCAAATACTTATTATTAGGGCTTTACAAAGACTACAAAACTTTTCAGATGATTTATTTCACTGTTTCTGTCTATTTACATGATATGTTACATCAAAAATGTACAAAATATAAAATGTATACAGACAAATGTTTCACAAACAATTTCTGAGTTGTAAACTAGGTGGACTCACTGAGATGTATTGCAGGGAGTTCTGTGTATGCAGTACTGTGTGTTTGTGTGTTACGTATGGCAGGAAAAGATTCGCAGGTTTGCTCAGACCCCAGGTACAGGAAAGGGCAGCTCTCCTTTMGCTCTCGCGTCAGCCACGGTGGAGGTGCTGACACGTTACAGCAGCAACGGATCCAGACTTGGGGGAAAGAGTGTTGGTCTGGCTGAATCCTACTTGCATAAAATCAGCTGGAGTTTTTATCAGGGCGATAGCACCGTGTAGGAACCTCTAGATTCAGTGATGCAGCTCAGTGCCATTGGAAAACTGCACGGGTTTATCTTGGTTTTACAGCAAGCGGCCACGGGGCGGCCACGGAGAGATAATAGCACCAGTGAGACATCCTGAAGGTAACGTCCATGTAGGTGTACAGCACATGGCTACACAATGCCAAAGCCCTTAGGTACCTTCTTGTTGATTTGCAGTTATTGTGACCAGGTGCCTCTTGTGGTACAAGAGCACGGCTGGTTTTTCTGAGCGGTTTTAATGCAATCTGTTTGTAGCCTGCCATGACATATGCACTTAAAACTTTGTGGTTTCGGGGTTTTTTTTTTTTTTTCCAGATGTTTTTTTCCCCCAAAGGTGTATTGGTTTCATATAGAAACTGAAACATGCTCACTCTAGCATTGATAGCTCCTGCATAGTCATAACAACTGTAAATACAGGACAAACACACCAGGTAATAACAGCTTTTAAGGTTTGCATTCTGTATTTGTTTGTAACATACAGGAAATCTCAGCAAGTGAAACATCTCTTAACACCAACAGAATAAAATACATTTTTTTTTTTGTTGTTTGCTTGTTTTTGATTTGTGCAAGGCTTTTTTTTTTCTTTTTTTTTTTTTTTTGATATTTACAGTACCCACCCAGTAGACTGTGCAAAACCAACCCACTTTTACAGTATAAACTCCTCCTCTTCCACAGTGGACATCACTGCTTCAGTGTTCTTTTATGCTGATTTTTTTTCCTCATGTACAACAATAGCAATCAAAACAACATGCTAAAACTAGAAAAAGGAAACGAAAGCAAAACCAAAACCAAACCAAAAACAAACATATATTTGTGCTCATGCTGCATCAAGTGCATCCAGCTCTGCTGGATAAGAATTCAAAACATCTATCCTCCAAAAACTCCATTCCATGGGACCAAATGGATTTGAGCCGATTTTCTCAGCATTTAAGTGGCAGTGGAAGTGGGTTTGGGTTCCTTGTGTATTTCTGAGGGTAGGCAGAGCAATCTATTCACAAGATAAAAATATTATATAGCAACTGTTCTTTCTCCTATCCATTTCTTTAAAAAATCATGATATACAGATATGAGGCTACTGTGTTAACTGACATTTTCTCATTAGTAAATGAAGAAAAAAAACAGTGTAAATTACCAATGGTTTAGGAACTAAACCAACTGTAAAACTGTTCTAGAAATCTGTTTTAAGGCAGTGAGACAGCACCATAGGAAATGTTCCTTCTTTCACTGAAAAGGCTCAAACAAACGAAGCCCTAAAAAGCCTTTACTCAGTGTTGGCTAAGAATTGGTACAAAACTGCGGTTAAGGAGTGGGCAGGTGGTTAAAAAAGACCTTTGTGGTAAAAACAACCTTATAAAACCTGTGACTCGTACACTAAAAACTCGATGGAGCGCGTCACCGTGACCATGGCAGTTAGTTAGGATTAAATTGGCACTTATCCAGCGGTATCACAGTCCTGTTTTCTGGTGATTGCACAGCGCTGCTTGTGCTTTCGCAGTGACCACCAGCACCACCAGCACCTCGGGCCTGCTTGGGAAGGGGCAGCAGCGCGAGGCGCGGCGGGCGGGCGGGCGCCGCGGCCCTCCTGGGAGCAGCACCGTGCGTGCGGCACAGCAGAGGCGAGGGGAGAAGGAAACCAGGGGACACCCGGGGAAACAGGAACCAAACCAGTCTGCACTGGAAACTCRTACGGAGAGACAGAGAGAAAAGCAAGGAGAGACACAGAGAGAGAGAGAGAAAGAGACTGAACGAAATAAAAAAGGGGGGGGAAATTCCAGTTTGGCTGACACATGTGCAATCTGCTTAGATGCCCTTGATCTAGGGCCCTTTCCAGTTGACAAACGGAGTCGCACTTGGCTCCAAAGATACTGAAATGCCTTGAAATTAAACTAATTCAAGCTTTCCACTTCAATTTTTTCTTCCTGACTTTGCGGAGTTAGGTCTCCTGCCTAYCTACAACACACCACTCTCAACCAGGGACCTCGGCATGCTGCTTTAATACTGGCAGTGGTCTAGTGGAAACAGATTTTACCATGATCCTCCACCACAACTCGTGTCCTTCAGAGAGTGGATTCGAGGGATGAATCCAGAATATCGTCATGGTGGCTGGTGCTATCACTGTCACAGCTCTGTGCGCTCGAATAGTTGGCTGCCTCTTGAAGCCTCATCAGCATATTCATCTGAAAGCAGAAGGAAACATTTGCATAACCTCGTCTCATCCGATGCTGCTGCAGCCGTGCTAAATTTTAATCAAGCCCCCCTGCTGTATGGGCTGTGCTGGTATCCAGCTCATGGGGACCACACAGAAGGATTTTGGAAAGGGCCAGGGGTCAGTGGCTCCTCCTGGCACCCCTTCCACCGTCTGCTGGTCTTGAAATAGCAGAGCACGTTTCAAGGCCCACAGGGCCATGGGGATACAGTGGAGCTGCCTGATAAGTCTCTCTAATTCCGAGGTGGCAGCGGCTGCAGCTGCAGCTCGGGCAGGGGAAGGAAGCTGTATCGTAGCTGGACATCTGGGCCTCTACTTGGAAACGGTCAGGCTTCCAAGCAGTTTTTGGATGAAGCAGACAGAATGCATTGGAAAAAGCAACTAACCACCCCCACACACGGCCCCTCTGCAAGAGAGAGGCGGCAGTGGCGAGCGAGGGCTGGACCCGGGCAGCTGCTTCACCGCAGATACCAGCGGCTCTTGAGGAGCTGCCCTGGCCACAGGAGCAGCAAGAGACCCTCCTTCCCCGGACAGAGAGCCCCACATTGCTCCTTTGGGCATTCCTGGAACCTAAACTCATCTGAAATATAAAAAGCAGCAGCAAGCTCCAGAAAATTACTTGGATGCTTGACACCAGCTCTGGGTAACTACTGGGATTTTATTTATGAAACATCCACTCCTGCCAGCATACTCAGGGCTGCAAGCAATGCTAACATTGCTTTAATGTATTGCAAAGAACAAATATGCTGTCATTACAGGGAACAGGAATGAAAACGAGAAAGAGAGGTACTTTGTGTGCGACTGTTACATCTCTTTTCAGGTATCCTTATATCCTTTCTGCTCCGGTATCCTTATATCTTTATGGTCTCAAGCCTGATGTTTGTAAAGCTTTCTCTAGACTTTGAGCAGTGTTTAATAACGTTTAATGCTGGCAGGTAGCTTTAGCTGTAAGCTTAGCAACAGCTATGGATATTTGAGGGTGCAGGTACGTGCACTAAGTGTGCAATATAGCCCATATATGAAATCTCCGGTCTCCACAAGCACAGTCCTTACATGTGACCCCTCTGGGGTCAGTGCTTGTCCTCCCACTAGCTCCCACAGGAAGGAACAAGCCCTACGGGCAGAAGTTTCACACTTCTCATTACTAGTCAAGCCTGGGAAGCTGGAAACAGCAAATGATGACAGCATGTTAGGAGCAAGGGTGATGGGCCACTCAATTCCTCAGCCCCCTATGCCTTTTCACATATTGCTTAGTGGAGGGAGATGCCTGCATGCCGGAAACCTGGCCAAAAAGCTTGTCGGCAGCCCGAATCACAGGGGAGCCACCCCTGAGCCTTTGGACTGGGAGACAGCGGGTCAGAGGAGCTGATTCCCTACACTTTTTCAAGATGCAATGCTTGGTTTAGGAGACTGGACACGTTGGAGGAGCTAAGGATTCATTTCTTCAGCACCTGCAAGATTTCAATGCTTTTCGTTCTGAAAAATTCCCTTTCCTGTATTCCAAAGGTAGTTCTCTAAAATGATATTATGAATTATGATAAAGACAGTCTATAGAGAATGTACCAGAATAGCAGTTCAATATGTGCAATTTAATATTCCATTAGCAGAGGAGGCATTGGTAAACCCAAACGTCTGGGACCATATTTAAATAAAATAATACATGGCATTTAGGGAAATCAACCTCTTATCTTTTAATGTCACCACACTTGCATTTCATATTCATTAAGACTGTTATGCAGTTATTATTTATCTTAAAATGTTCTGAGAAATTGGAGGATGGTGTCAAATTTGCATTTCCACTGAATTCCCTACAAGAGACAAGTTGGATAACATGTGTTCCTCATCTGTGGGGTGTAGATGACAAATTGCTTGACCTGGAAAGATGTTTTTTAGAATAAAAAGCTTCATGATGGAAGCTACATACATTAGCGGGCAGATGAGATATGCGTACAATTTAAGGACACATTAGCTTGATATTAATATCTTCCCTCTTGACAGATTTTCCTTCTATTCCTGTTATTCTTATTTTTAAGGAATTACAGTAAAATTCATTTTAAAAAACCACGCTGGAACAGGTAACCAGTACGTTCTTCACTGTACACGTTACAATTTAATGGGTGACCGTCAGGTCCATACTGTACAGCAGTTTTCCCCACGTTTAGGCCTTACCAAGGGATCCCCTTCTGTTTCGCTCTGTGGAACGTGCTTTGAGGTTGTTCCTTCCTTTGCTGACACGTAACCTTCGTACCCAACATCTTCTGGTCTTAACTGAAGCAGTGATGGCCACTCGTGCTGCAGCGAGGCCGAGCTCCACGGGTAGGTATCAGCTACCCATTTGGAGGGATCCTCCCACGGGGCTCTCTTTCCGTACATCTGTATTATGGACATAATACATGTAAGTTTTTACCCCATGGAGTTTGCAGTACTAGTTGCAATAGCAGGCCAAAAGTAACCCAGTGTATCAATAAACTGTGTCAAGAGCAACAGGAGTTTGACCACAAACTGAAGCATCAAAAGTTCCACAGGAAATTAGGGAAATCATTCTTAACAGTGAGGGTGACAGAGCCCTGGAACAGCCTGCCCAGGGAGGCTGTGGAGTCTCCTTCTCTGGAGATCTTCAAACCTGTTTGGACGCAGCCCTGTGCTCCGTGCTCTGGGTGTCCCTGCTGGAGCCAGGAGGTTGGACTGGATGATCTCTGGAGGTCCCTTCCAAACTCAACCGTTCTGTGACTCTGTGATTCAATAGTGCTTTCTCATCTGTGATGGGATTAGAAATTCAAGCAACCACGGCTCCATTAGTGCTCCTACAATACGCAGCACGACTGCGTATTGGAAAGGACTCCGTAACTAGTGATACTCATGGGCAACAGAGAGTTAGAAGTTTTTGATACTACATGATATAAAATCTTCAGGTAATTTGCTTTGGGCATATCAGTGAAAACCATATCTAAAATATTCAAGTTAAATTGATTTTGTCTGGAAACAATTAGGAAGTGTTGGTGCAGGTTGTTTTCTTCTAGTAAATCTGAATCCAGAAGCATGGTATACATGTGATCCTGTATAAGTCAGCATAAGTCTGAGATCTTTCTTAAGTTAAGAGAGGGAATCCAAGAAGGCTGGGATTCCCCTGCTGTGAAGTGCAGCAGTGCTTACAAATCTGGAAGGAGCAGAAGGAAGAGGGAGAACTCCCCAAGTTCAGGAGGTCCTCACTAAAACACTCCCCTGTGCCTCACTGCAGCTCACGAGCAACATGTTAACTGGAAGACGCTCAGTTGCTGCTTTACACCTTCCCTCCAGCTTTGCTGGACACGGTGGGCTTGGGAAGAATTCAGCAGTGCTTTCTGTGATCTGCGCCAGCTCAAGCAGGCTCAGACAGTCCAAGCAGCAGTATAATATTGCCAGGATAAACTCTATGGGGCATTCAGATGGGCCACACTCCTAGTGAGGAATAAAATAGTTATGTCTTTTAGTGCTAAAGCCACAGAGATATGCTTATCATTGCAACAGCTGCTCCCAGGCACTCGCTGAATCCAGTGCTCCAGGTGAGGTAGCCAAGTTCTCTATATTATGCACAGGGATAACCAGGCTCCTTATGCACTTCATTGAAGCTAGGCTGCTTAGCAGGGATCTGCCTAAATGAGCCAAGAGGAAATGTTTTTACAGAGAGGTAGAAAACTCCAGGCTGGAGGCAGCACTTCCTTCATTCTGGGATTAACAGAGATCAAATCCTTTCTGGAGTCGGGGACAAAGATTGTAGATTCTTGGTCTCACGTACAAGTTTGCTAAGTATCAGGCTCAAAAGTCATTTTCTGCTCTGCTCTGGATCTAGGAATATCTAATTATCTCATGCAAAAGGTTTCTGTGCATCATTAAAAATGTTGCTCTATGGATGTCATTCAAATCATCTAAAAATCGGAAAGGTTCACGAAACACTGTATTTTCTTCTGTCTGCTGCCATCTTCTGCTCTAGAGTTGAACTTTTCATTTAAGTAGGTACCCTGAGTATTTGGAAAAATATGAGCCTGAAGCCTATTACTGTTTTTTATAGCAGGTCCAAACAAGCACCATTAATCTCACCGTGGCTGCTCTATCAGACATTTGGCAGGTTTTTGCACAAGGTCTAAAGACTGTAATTCTCAGAGAGATAAGCAGTTTTAGCAAAGCGTGAGATATTCAACAGGCAAGATTCAAAACCTCCATCTCGTCAGTATGACACCATGTCAATGCAAGGTGATAAAGACAAGGCAGCTGCTTGCAGAATTTTTTTGACTGCTCCAAGACAATCTTCTCTGCACCGTGCAGTAATTTCCTTCATGTGTGGCAAAAAAAAAAAAAAAAGCCTTTCCATAATCTATCTTTTCATAGGATTGCAGTACATAAAAAGAAAGCAAAAGGGAGAAATCCAATAGGAAAAAAAATAAAGTTTGGATTATTTTCAAGATTTACGTTTGCTCCAGAGATGTGCAATGGTCCTAATTCCTTACTTAAGTGGGACAGCATACAGTGATATCTACAGTAAAACTATTAGCACTCCTGCTATTAAAGTAGAAGAAACTTGACTAATGTGGTAATGGAGGTGCTGCTAATCCCTAGCTCTGAGGAGGACAGGGTGGAGGAACCACGAAGCACTCTGAACTGGCAGCAGCTATCCATGACGTGGATAGAGCAGCGATGAAACCTTAGCCAGAGAGGAAAAGGAAACTTAAGAGAGACCAAAATCAGGGAAAACACAGTGATGCAAGTTAGAAGGGCAAAACCAAAGCAGAGTTGCATGTTCACCAAAGCCAAAAAGTAAGTTAACTCCCTCTGGTAAAATAAGCTCAGTAAACAGATCCTCTGGGAGAGGATCAGGTAGAGCAAAGCTCTTTGTTACACAGTGCAGGGGCTCTTCCATRCGGTGACAGGCTGAGGCTGCCTCCCTCAGGAAGGCAGTACAAGCTGTATTCAATATTGCTGTGAACTCTGTTCAGATGGTGAGAAAAGGAAAACCTTCCAGCAGGCATGGAGGAGAAACACGGGTAAAATAAAGACAAATTACATATTAGGGTGAGAGCAAGTCAAAGTGAGTCCAAAGCTGTTTTCTATAAAATTATTGCATTTTTTTTCTTGTAAACACATAACACTTGGATGCATTGTTTAAAACTATCTTTAAGAATGCATGTGAAACTAATGCACAAACTTGCTTTGAAGTAAGTGACTCACCTGAAGCCCCTCTCTCACAGCTTCCAGAAGATACGGTACTAGGGAATAGTTCCAGAGGTCTGTGAACCACACTCGGGAGCCATCAACATCCATAGGGCAAGGCAGGAAAAGGCGGGGACCTGAGAAGTCAAGTTGTGTATTACATATGTTGAACCAACTGAACACACTAAAAATAATCTTTATAAAATCAAAGAAATATTAGTACCAGAGCAGATTCCAATGAAAGGGATGGTAACATGAGACTACAACTATTGAGCTATCAGTGCTATTATTAAAAACAAACTAGAGTCACTTAATGCACTCCTAAGGCCTGACAAGCACTTGCACAGTAAAAAAAAGACAAAAAAAATTTTACTAGCACACCTATGTTAAAGTGTGACTTTCTGTTAACATAGCTATTTCACTAAAAGACCTCAGGTGTATGTACATCTCCCACCTGTTAACTTGCCGAACCGACAGACCCAGTGTTTTTATTGCTGTAATTATGCTGCAATGTGAAAGCAGGGAAAAAAAAAAAAATTAAACTTTGAAGACTTGCTATTGAGGTCATTTTTGGTGTTGAATTTTTAAAATGATGATCATTTACTTAAAAAGTCTCTAGCAACCAGGGCAGAAAAACTCGGGAATGCATGCTTTCTCATTAAACTTTACATTTTCTTTTCAATCTGCTGTTCATACTAACCAGGCAATTTCCCCACAGTGATTTTGCAATTCCCATGGTAGAACAGGACAGAATATTTTATACAAAAGCAAATTCCACCTTTACTCATCTCTGCTATGCTCAAGCCTTCATCCTTATTCCTAACCACTGGAAGAGGACTCACCAATGGTCACATCCGAAGAGCTGTGCGTTTCTAGGAAGCTGTTGAGATGATGCCACGTTTTGGGGATCCAGTCAATGATTTTCATGAGCTCATTATTGCGCATGTTCTTTTCTATTTCAGTCTCAATCAGTTTCCTTCTCAGATATCTGCCCAAGAAACCTTTAACAGGCTCTGTGTGGTTAGCACACAGCACCCACCTGGGAAGAAAGGATAAATGTCAGACAGCAATGAATAGCTAATATACCATATCCTCTTGAACATACAGATGAAAAGGATGTCATGAGCTCCAAAGGCTGGTGAACCAGCAAACATAAAACAGCTCTGATAAACCACCAGGTCATATTTTTTCCTTATTGCCCCCCCACTGCAATGTAATCAAGATCAGAGGTTTCAGCTAGAATTCAAGACAGCACTGAGGATAAATGGAAGGCAACAACCATAGCATCATGCTAGAGATACAGGAAAGGTATCTTGTTTTTTCCAGGAGAAGGAAAAAACACCATTCTGAGAGTTACCAATATAGGAGCTAAATCACTTCGCTGTGATGGATCTTTGTGGAAGAGCTGGGCTGAAAAGAAGGGAGTTTGAGAGCTCTGTGCAAAAATGGACAAAATAAATACAGAGTGAATGTACCTGAAATTGTGATGTAGCTCCAGATTTGGTGAAGAAGAAACTCCCTGGCTCATAGTTCCAATAATATAGGGACTGGAAAGAGAAAAGTAGCAAATTCAAGTGGGAATTTTGTTGAGGGAATACCCATTCATATATTCTGAGAATATTCTGAGTTGCACTGGACTAACTTTGAAAAAGAGAGCAAAGATGAGGTTTAGTCTTAAAGTATTTCTGAACTRACCTCTTTTTTCTTTTGCATGTTTATTTGCATGTTTCCCCTTTCTGCACATTTATAGTTTACCAGTATCCATCTGTAATAAAGATATGAGGTGAACCTGTGCATATGTACCTCACTATTTTGTAGTAGCCTTAGAGTTTTAATTTCAGAAGCCAGGGCATCTCACAAAGAAGACATAGTGCACAGCAATTTTGTGAAGGGTTGTTCCTATGATGGAGCTTTTGCAGTGGAAATATCCTATTTAATAAGCCAATAGAAGTTTCCAGATACCATTATTTGCATTCTGCCCTRGCAATAAAGGACAGTTGATCGAGTTCACATCTCTGCACTACTRTGGCTCACATGAAAACTGTAGGAAATGCAAGTCCATCAGCTATACAGTTGCTTCTGCATAGCACGGCTCATGGATTCACACATATCCCAGATTCCACTACTATAAACCACATTTCTTCTTACTCTTACAACCTCTCCGCGTGGTACTAATGAGCCTGTGTGACCTGACAGAGCAAAAGGAACAAGATTCTAATCCACTCAAGCATTTAAATCCATTCTTAAATTCAGCGCTACATTAATATCTCACTGACATGCATGAGAGTCATATAAATAAGGCGAAGCAGACACCTGCAATATTGGGCTGAAGAAGGGGAAAGCACTCAAATTTTAAGGACCTTTCTAAGGGCTTACCTGATCTACCTTAAGGGAGTCAAAGGTTCCAATGGGAYATTTTATTTTACAAGCCAGCAAAGACCTTTTAACTGTTTGGTAAGGTGAGTGAAACTTACCATTTATTATATTTACAATTGAGGAAACCATTGAAGATGTCGCTTAGTGAGCTGATGTGGTGGAGGTTATCAAGAATTATGACCACAGGGAGGTCAGCACCATTGTTGTCAGCACTGCATTGCTCAGCCAGGTTAGCTAGGTATTGTCGCAGATCCTGCCACAGAATTAACAAAGAAACAGAAAAATCAGGCCAATTAGCTCGTGGATGTAACTACAGTGGGAAAGATTTCCAGAAAGATAAAGAAACTGCTACAGGGTTTCCCAGCTGTGGATAATTCCACTGGATCAGCACAGGGAGGAAGTTCTGCTTCCGAGTTAGGGCAATACTGAAGACATARGCAAGGAAAAACAAAGGCACTAAACGTAAGGCAAGAGACTGAAGCATATCCACTTGGTGGGTACATTCCTCAGGAACCTGCTATGAAATATCTTACCATTTCCAATGGGAAATATCCTATATCTAGAGGGCTGAGCTRTTCACGTTGGGCCTCCAATTTTATGAATGCCACATTTATATATCAAAATCAGCTAGATGTGACCCAGTCTAGGTATACAGAACTCAGCTATCTCCTGTCAGCTCTCACTGAAAATCTGTTCAGTCTTTTGAGGATACTGTATCACACTTCTTAATTTCTTAATAAAGTTCCTTGTGTAAACATTTTTTTCTTTTTTTTTTCCTTTTTTTTTCTGTCAGCTATCTTCCTGACTGCCATTTAGTGCTGGAGTAAAATAAAGCTTTCTAAAATCAAAACGTTTCATATTTTTATTTACACTTCCTTGCTTTCGAGGCCCTGGGATAGTCAAGTTTTAGAACTGTGTCCCTTGAGGTATCTAATTTTGTCAGTGCTGGGAATGCTCAGTATTATGGACAATGTTTCTGTTGTCATTGTACTTCATGGATCAGTGATAGTAAAATCTTTTTTTTATTATTATTTAATGGCCACATGTAATTTTTTTCATTTCAAGAACTCTTTTTGTTTGGCTTTTTATGATCAGGTATCTCTGTGGGGAAAATCATGGATTTCTTCCAAAGAATAGCAGTACTATTCAAAAGCACTGCATTTGACAATGATATATTTTTTTCYTTCATATTATAAACCCAGGAGTTCTATGTAATCCTCCTAGAAACAAAGACTAGAATATAAAAAAAGAAACACAGACAACAAGCAATTTAGCAGCAAGTCAAAGCTCTTTCTTCTCTGGGAATATTTCCCTTTTAAATRCATATGTTATAACAATAAAATATGAACACTTTCCCTGCTGAAGTAAATGGCATCACAAATCATCTGCATAAAGGCACTGAAAAGAGATGTTTTTACTGGAATGGTTATCCCATCCCTTTGGGATCTGCATCTTCTTCCTTCTTATATGATGTTAACATTAATTGCATTCTGTGAAAAGCTGAAAGCCTGCACAAAACCTTTCATTTTCTGACCATCTTTCTGGGTACCAAGTCAGGAAAATTCACAATTTAGGCTAACAAGTCCAGAAAATTCCCAATTTAGAGTAACAGTTGAATCATATTATTGCTGGTAGCACAGTAGTGATATTAGAAGCTTGATAATCACTCTGAGTAGGGTAAAATGCATGAGTTAATTTTAGTATGGTTGGATCCTGACTGATACGCTCCAGCACTATGGCAGTAGCAGTATTTACACAGTGCCATTAAGAAACTGAACCCAGGCTAGCTACTAGTTTAAATCTTCATTCTCAAACCTATGCTAGCAATAGGTTCTACTTTCACTACTAAATATAAGACAGTTTGACCAGCTTTACTGTATACCCAGCCTTTCTCTCCACGGAGTTAGGCACTCTAAGAACAGAAGTGGCGTGGGTATTTTATCCTGCATCTATACTTAAGGTGGGTTTCCTTCAGTGAGCAAAAATTCACGTTTCCTTCACAGTGCTTCAACGCTCTGTTTAGAACTGAGAGACCTGGTCTTCATTACTCATGGGATGGGAGATAAGCCTTGCAAGGAAGAATGACAAATGAGCAACAAAACAGTATGCCAATTAGTAGGATTTATGCTGTGTCCTCACTACTAATCAGGCAATAGGTTACCTTTCAGTTGTGACTTACCTTGCTTGACTTGTGATCTACGTTAAAAGTTGCAATTGCATCCTCAGTTTTTTTTCTGCCAGACTTAGTTATTATATATTCAGCCAGCCTGTTAGCTAAATAGGTCTTTCCTGTGCCACTGGGTCCCGACAGAATAATTCTACGATGCTCCATCAGTAAATTAAAGTACCGCTGGGTAATTGGCTTAGGAATTAATGTGTCAAACACAAAACTATCCAAACTGTTTTCTTCTACTCCTGGAAACAAAAGAAAAGGAAAATGGCTTGTCTCCATCTGCGGTAAGGTTTGACTCAACACCTGATGATGCCTATGCCATGCTGAAGGCAGGTAAGATACTACTGCCCAAAGCAAACTTCCATTTAGTTTTTCATTACTGTAGGAAATATTTACATCTTTCCACTGGGCTTAAAAATTAAGCAGTGGCAGCGTGACTATTTGGGTGGGAAAAATGAAATCTAAGTAAATGTGAAGAGAAGGCTCAGTGAGGCAGACGTGTGTTTCAGACCATCACGACAGAAAAAGGTCAGAGTCACAGCCACCAGGATTACCAGTTGTCACATCAATACATGCACAGTTCTTTTGAAGGCCTCTCTCCCATCCAACAGCAAATCCCTGCAGCTTTTGAAATGTTTCAGTTTTCTTCTATGGATTTAAGTTATGCATTAATTTTTCTGATCATAAGCTCCTTTTTTTTTTTTTCCCTCCTTATTCAGAATATTGTACTTCGTTGTGATTTGAGAGTCAGACAGAGAAGGAMAGGGATATTCTTGGGTTTGCCTCAAAATGCCCCTGTGTGGCAGGGGTCAGGCTACAGAAAGGTCAAGTCTAAAAGAAAACGAAGGGAAATGGGGGAATGCAGTGAAGAATCACAGAGTATTTCCAAAAATATTCTTATGGTTTTACCTTTGAGGTTCACAGTGATGATGTTATTATCTCCAACCAGATATCCACAAGGCAGCAGTTCAGGCACTTCTAAGCTATGGGCTCTCATTACATCCCCTATAGAATAACTAGCAATGCAGTCAGAGCTTAAACCCAAGCTGGTAGCTGGATCCACTCGGAAAATGTATTCCTGAAATTATAAGAAAACATAGAACGTAAAAATAGATATAGTCATTGAATGAAAGTAATAYAGACACATACTTTGGTACAGATGAAGTCATATTTCAAGAAGGTTCTCAGAGTTGCACAAAACACAGAACTGCCTATAACCTATAAAAAAGAACAACCTTAGGAGTAATGTTTAACAATGGTGTCAGGTATACATAAAAAAAAAAAAAATAAAAAGTCTTGTCAAGTGAAAAGAAAAGACACATTTTTTCTAAAGCTAGAAAAAGTATTGAATTAATACTTGAGCTAGTTTTTCAATGTCTTACCTTAAAGAGGCGTCTGATCACACCATCTAAAACATCCCACTTTGTTTTTCCGCTAACTCCAATTGATCCTATCAGGTATGCATGTGTTTTCTGGTCCTACAAAGACAGAGATTTCACAGGTTGTGCTGAAACTAAATTTACCAACAAGTAAAACAAAATTATGCAGAATGTGATGCTACAACTTTACTAAAAATATCTGAGACAGAAACAGGTAATAATAATTTTACTTTGTACATCTGTATATGAAAGGAAATAGAGCATCTTACTCTGCTCTTAGGTTGCATCTGTGTTTAGAGAAAGAYGTATACAAATAAAATTCGCATTCTGTTTATAATACTTTTGTAATATAAAACATGAAATATGACAATGGGATTCCAAGTGGATTACTTTAGCAACATATTCATACCTGCACCTATAGGGGTCAAGRTATGTGTAACTTATAACCATGTTTGAATGGAGATGACAGGTCCCAGAACATCTCTCTGCTAATTAAATTCAGAACTGGTAGTGTCTGAGCCATCACAAAAGCAGGAAAAGGCTACATGACATTATTAGCATATATTATACTAACTGTATTAAACATATACASATGACACAGAAAGGAAGTGCTATCTTCAGGATATTTCCATTTAGTTTAAGGCTGAAAATASTGAAAGGACTGCAGCCAGTATCCTGCAGGATTTGCCAGAGCTGTAATTCTGTGATTAGACCTTTGGATAATGACCTTACCTTGGCTCGACTGTAGCCCTTGTTTATAGTGACTAAAATTTTCACGCTATGGCCTTCTTTGTGGAGTGCTTCCTCCGTGACTTCTTCTAGCAGAATATCTACGGTACAAGAAGAGCTGTGATTAACCTTACAGATCACTTCAGTTTTATCCACTCCACCAGTTCAATACTTGCTTGAACGGGTTTTTTTTTGTTTGTTTGTTTTTGTTAACAAGAAAGGCTGTGATCACGACACCTGGCAGCACAGTCATTGGAAGCTGTTCTTGTTCCTACTTCGCCTATCCTGTTGAACATGAAGGAACAATTTGTCACTGGTTTAGAGCAGTATCCATAAGATGCTTTAGCCATGTAAAAATGAGTTGGGGAATGCACAAGAAAGACATTCTTGCTTTACAATCTTGCTGTTGCTTTCCTCCTGGAACATGGTCACAATTACCTTATGTCCACAAGGCTGTTTAAAAATGAAATTAGCTTTACACCTTTGGGCGCTCATCTTGCCCTTCCCCAAGCTATCAGGAGAAAAGCAACAAATCCTTGCACTGTTATATTTGCTGCTCCATAAAACAGCTCTTTAATTTCTCTTTCCAGCTGATTTCTTTACCTTCTGTATACCACACRGATATAGTCATCTCTCCAAATAAACACAGTCTTACAAGGAGAAATCATTAAAAACCAATTTGCATTCCATCTGAAAATGGGACTCTGCATTCAGCCATTCCTCCAGTTAAAGGTTTTAAGTTTCCCGGAGGTAAAGAGTGATTCTGATCTGCTCTGTGCCTCATTTACACCTCCTTCCCAACTCCCGAAGCAAGAATGCAGAAGGATATATTCCTTACTAAAGCCTAAGTCTCAGGCATTACTGCAAGGGATAAGATTGCCATCTTCCTACAGAGGTTTTTCTCAAAGAATCTTCTGTTGGGCTTTCTAACTAAATGTCAAATTAGAAGAGATTTTGGATTTGCATTTTCTTCAAAGGCCAGCACAGTAAGTATCCACTACCCTAAATCCTGCTTGTTCTTATTGTGAAGATTGAAGTAGTGCATTGACTTCATGTCATAGTCTGCACAAGGCTGGATTTTGCCCAAATTAAACTGAGGTGCAAGTAAGTTTCTGTCACAGAAGTACTTGTTTAAAGCAAAAAACTCAAAAGGCTTGTGAATATGGCATCAATAAATGTACTTAGAAATAAGTGAGTCTTCATGTACGAGGTCTCGCAGCTTACACCCTGACCTAGAAAGCAGATTCTGCTCTTTTTTTAAAATAGATCTAATCAAGAATCATTTTTGTTTCCAGCTTGAACAAACCTATGCCTATTTTGTTCCATGAAGCCGGTTTTCCTGGGCCACCAACATGAGCTTTTTCACTTGCCTTGTCTTATATTTTGGCATATGTGGTAAACCTAAAGAGTTTCAATAATGCCAGAATTCCCCTGAGGCCTATTTAAAAAGTCTCTGGTTCTCCTCTGAAATTTTTTGATCCCAAAATGACCCTCACATGGCCTTTTAAATAACTTTTTTCTTTAAGTGTTTGGGAATGAGACACTATTTTGCATCTAGAAAACAAATTCCCTTTGCTACAGAGAGATGTCCCTTTCMTGGGTATCCAGGCAGAGAAGACGCCCAACTGAGCATTTCACCAGGGTGTTAATTGCTTTAATTGCCTTCTGCCAGGCCTCTCCTTAGCTGCACTATGGAAATCCCAGCTCTCTTTTGTCTGAGCCCTGGCACGTTCCTTTCATTGGACTAGCACATACACAGCCCTGCCCTGCTCCCTGTTTGCTGCGCCTTAATCCAGGGCTGGTTGCAGGATGGGCATCCGTGATCCCGCACTTGTGACYCGCACCTTTCTGGAGGCTCAGGAGATGGTCCTGCCTTGAGGAAGCAGCACTGAGCAGCTGATCATTTCCAGGTAATGCTGGTCTGCTACAAAGTGCCATGGATTTTTTCATGTGATAGGCCAAAATTCTCATTACCTTTCTCAGCTTATTCTCCAGTATGATTAACTTATGCTCGTCTGAGGAACATCCGTGTAACAGCACTTCAGCTGCCACAGGAGTCCCACAGGACCTGGCAGCAAGCTGTCACCCTTCCAAGCTCTCTGGCACTGCAATAAAATGATGCTCACGATAATCAAAAATGCTGGATTCATATCTAAATTGAGTACAAAAACTCCACTCCTCATTAGGCACTCATTTCTTTAATTTCTTGTAACCAAACGTAATTACTTTACATACTAGAAAACGTTTAGAACTAATAACATAGAAAATTATATAATGCTTATATTGTATTTGTTCCTATATCTAGACAGACTTGGAGTCTAGAGACACAGTGCTAATTAATGACTGCTATTCATGAAAGAGTTTCTATGATTACCATTTTGAAGAAAACTCTGTTCTAAAATTTTGTCATGTGTGTGAATGTAACTGCAATTATTTTCCTGTGTTTACAACACTTCACTGTATACCAAGGCCTAACCCAGGCTCATGGATTCTGTAAGTTAAACCTGGCAAAAATGTTGCTGGGATGCAAAGAAAAAATATACCAATTTTCATAAAAAATCCAATATTAACTGGAATAAATGTTCAAATACCCATGTAATCAATGACTGGCAAGATACAATGACAAACTGCCAACCCAAATTATTGTCAGGCAGTTTGGCATATTCCCAGCTGTACTCTTGCCTAGACTTTTCAATAATTATTAACCACATTCTATGGCTTCCAGAGATTGTATTAAACTTTCTGTGGGTCTCTGTCAGTGGGTGCTGCTTTGCATTTGCTGTGCTCGTGGCTCTAACGTTAGGGACAGCGCTTCTGTTTCTTAACCACATTAYCAAAACAAGTGTCAAAGGCTTGTTATCCCAAACTCTATGGCATGGCAAAAAAAGCAAAAGGTAGTGTTCAGGATGTGGAGCAAAGCTTTCCCTCACTCACACAGGATACTGGGAGTGCTTCATACAGCAGCCAGCAGTGTTCGGTTTGTGAGATAAATGGCGATCTGATCCAACACATACTAACTAGCCATATCACATTAAAAAATAATTAGGAGACAGTATTAAGTGAGATCACCTTCTTCCACAGCTTAAAATATGCAGTGATATTAAGGGGCCTAACCTACCAAGAAAAGGCCTGTGAATTAAAGAGGGCAGTGTAATGTACAGTGCTCATATTTGTCCCAYGTGGCCGAAACAATATACTGGTGGAGATCTCATGTAGACTACAACAGATGCTGTTCTTATCAAAGAACCAGATAATCCAAAAAGCCAGATAATCAAAGAGCATTGGAAACTAGGGAGGAAGTACCATTGCTAGGAACTAAAGAAATAAAATGAACAAGCTGTTACTATTATTCAGACCCTGCCAAAAGTCACAGTTTGAGAAATGACTGCCAACATTGTTCTTCATYGTCGTTAGTGAATGAATATCTGATGTTCACATGAACCATATGAGGTATTTTAAGTTTCAGACATGCCTTTGATATGGAGACTATTAGGAGGATGAAAATGAGGCATGCAAGTACACATCATCTATTTACCTGATGTAGCAGACTCTGTGATGTTTAAGTTGTTCAGAGAAAGTCCCAGGGACTGCCGCGATGAAGATGATGATGTGCTGCTTGAAGACTCCGATGACGGCCGGGCAGGCTTCCCAGTATTGCCAGTCTCGGCCTTTAAGCGATCATTTTCTGCTTTCAGGATCTCAATTTCATTCTGTACCCAAAAGAATCCAACATAAAAACACAGGAGGTTATGTTTCACAGCACCGCCTGGGTGGATATTCAGGTGCTGGCTGTTCACAAGCAGGAGTCAAATTGATTTAGTAGCTCCGTGGCAGCGTGTGGCACTAGAGCAAAAATACAAATCCATTAAAAAGTGGATTGCCTTCACTTCTGAAAGGAAGGAAAAAGCCCTACAACTTCTTTTTAGCTTTTGCCTCAAGGCAGTTATTAACCAACATAGTCTTTGAGGCACTGCATATATTGTAAATATTCACTATACTACAGGTATTGGGAGAATTTTCCCAACTGCGTCCAATTTTAGAGTGTTATTTTGTATCATCAAATATCTTATGTAACAGTCACCTAAGAAAGTTATTTCTAARATTTTGCATGTGCATTGACAAATTCTCTAAAGTCATGGGAAATGATGACTGCTGTTGAATGAACAATTTAAGCAACAACTTCACAGGGGAGCATTGAAATTAAAAATGGACAACTAGAATYTAGTATTTTAACATTTTCATAATTCTTCTTCGTGGCAGATAAGGGGTTTTGATCATTCAAACATGGGATTGTTCACATAACAGCCAACAAGACCTCTTTGATGAAAACATACTGTGACAGATGAATCAGCACTGCTAGGAATTTGTTTTTAGCTAAATTCTCTGTGGTGCCAAGTGATTATGGAATGTACAATAATCAAATGCAAACTTAGCCTCAGSACAGCCCAGTTCCAGCTAACTCTAGCTTTCAGTCACTCCATGAAGCACAGTACAAAGCAACTGCTGTTTTTGCAGATGGTTTTGCACAGCCAATTTAATTCCACATTCACTAGCACTCTGCTAAAAGTCTCATCCTTTTCTGAAGGCTCTTTGGACATCATACAAGTAAAAACATAATAGATAACATCACCAAGAAAAGTGCAACTGCTACAAAATGATTCGATCACACAAGCAAAGGTGAGGAGAAAGTGAAAGAAAACAGAAAAAGCAGAAAATACTGACAGAATGTCAAAATGAGTGAAACCTTAAGTTCAAATCAGGAAGTGAGCTATGCTGAAATAAGTCGTGTGATAGCAATCTATCTATTTTGTAGGTGTTTTGCATACTCAAGTGTTCATATAACTGTTCCACCACATTTTCCTCTTTCCAATCCCTATCATTTCTGCAAAATGCTGCACAGTTTGGATTTTCCAAAGACTCTCTGACCCTTCCCTATATGCCTTCATATCCTGTTCTTCACTACTGGAAGTAACTATATGACTCTATAAAACTCTTATGTCCAGACGGATGAGTAGTTCTCTGCATGTTGCCTACACGGTCTGTAGACTAAACTCATTAATTGGGCATTATTTGTCATCGGTAAACCTCTCTGCATTTTATCCTGTTCTTCACTTACCATTTATACTTTAATTATTCTCATCTTTAAAAATTGCTTAAAAGCCTTTACAATTACTGTGATCAGAAAAATATAGATACATAGCAACCACATAATAGTATTTTGCTTTTTGCAGAAAAAGAACTACATTAGCTGTTCTCCTTTCATACAGCACCATTTATAACTTGACGGATTAAAAGTATTTGGCAGTGGTTTTGTAATTGTCCTGTAACTACTTCCTTAAATCTGAGATGCATTCAGTTCTCTCAAATGGGACATTAATCTTTCAAATGTTTTTCACTCACCACTCTCCCATTTTTTACATTCTCATTGTCATTAGCCTGCCTTCCCTTCTCTGACCATCATCCTTTCAGAATTGAGGCAAAGTACTCCGTTTTTGTGCCATAATCAGAATGTCTTTAATAAGTCTTTGTCAGAATAGTGTCTTTCTTTTTTCCTTCTTTTAAAATCCATACAATTTCTACTGCTTCTTTCTGTATTTCTATATTTTTCATAAGGCCTAGCCAGACTTTGCTTCTCACTCTTCTCCCACTTCTAGACTTGTTGGTACTCTCTGTAATTCCTTTTTAGCATCTTGACATCCATTCTTGAGCAGTCCTCTTGCTGGAAATAATACACTTCCATAACATTTTTGCACCTTTGGTCTGCAGATTTTGCATGCTTTTACTCATCTCATTCACACTGGAGAGGTTTTTAGGCCAGGAGACTTGCTAATTTCAGTTTCCCCAAATGTACCTTTCTGAAATGGAAGCCCTTACTTACAGTTGTTATTTTTCCCTTTAACTGAAGGCCAGCCAAATATCTCATATCAGTGCTGATATGCATAGTCTTCCAGCAGTCAAATGTTAAAACTTCAAGTGTTGTGCAGATACCTCAGGCTGTTAAAACAGTACCAGGTGTGTATGTTTAGGCAGCCAAAATTTCACCCTATCTACCTCTGTTATCATTGCTTGTGAGGCCCCACTGCTGCATGTCTACAGCTCCAGTGGAAACAACAGCAGCTTAGTAACTGAGCTCATACWTAGGCAGCTCTAAATACAGATCTCCTAATCTCAAGCTGAATCCTAACCCATTGGCCTTGATTCAGTTTCCCAAATGCATGTTTTTAGTGGGACATCCTTGGTACCTCACCTGTCATTCTGGCAGGGCACAGATCTATCTACAGGACTTATGCCATATTCAGCAGATCTTTGTGGATATTGTGGATACTTTTGTCCTCTCTCTTTGGGCAYGAGACACTTACATGTCAGCAACAGAACCAAGTCACATTAAGCTCCATGCTCTGCTGAAGAGCACTGTCCTTTTTTTTCTGTATCCTTTCATCCAGGTGAAAGGCAAGTTGTTGAAAAAATATGTTCAGAAAAGATGTTGCAAAGGGTCATAAGTAATAAAGGAATGAAATTTTAGCAATGCTGAATACCATAATTTAATCTAATTTTACATACTTTTCCTCTGCAGGCTATGGCTGGGTTAGAGATTAGAAGGGAGGATAGAGTGTGCACATATTTCCCTCCAACACAGCCTGCCCAAGTAATGAAAGCTCTGTAGAAATCACTCTGATCTGCTTCTCCGTCACACTGCTTTCTTCAGGAGGATGTTTCAGATTACAAATATCCTATGGGCAAGGATTACGTCTTCATCCTTATCATTTAAGCACACTTTGGTTGTTAATATATAAATGCTAACAAYGTAATTTTATTATTATAAGATGAACACTTACCATACTCTTCCTTTCAAAGTACTCTCAATCTGTAGCTTTCCTTTACCTCAAAAAAAGTACTGGGAAAGGAAAAGACCCCAAGCACACTTCAGGTGTGCACCCCTGTCATCACTTGGGGCCCTGTACTGACCTGCATGCGGTTCATGGCCTCCCGGATCTGATCCAGGTGGTGTGCGGAGCTCAGGGCTTCCAGACGAATGTCCGTCAACTTGAGCTCTTTCTCCCTCAGCTCACTCTTTAGCTGGAGAATAATTTCAGCCTCTGCCTCTGTGCACTCGCAGATCCTAAAGAGGAGCAGGAAACAGGCAGGAGATTAAAGGAAGGTTCTCTCCCCAAAGCGATGTCATTACTAAATATCAAAGTGCAGAAAATGCTTGCTGCTGCTGAAACCTAGGAGTGAAGACAGAAATTTACCAAAGAAACATGAAAAGGCTCAAACTGCAAATTAAAAATGAAAAAAAATCCTCCTCCAGATGAAATATTCAGCTTACTTTGTATCTTCTCAGTTTCCTGACTTCCCTATGTTAGTGATTTCCCTATGGTGAAAAAAAAAAAGCTGTTAAAAAAACTTTAAAAAATGCTTTATGTATTTTCTTTCACTGAATTACTCATTGTCTTTAATTTGATTTTATCTCTGCATCRTTTCTTTGGTGCAAAGGTTACAATTTCCCAAGGTCTCAGTAGTAAGAAGTTCACCGATCAAATTACGCTGCAGACATTCACTATGTTTGGCACCAGCAGCTTGCTTTGCTTTGCACAGGACACAAAGAGACAGTCCCTGACCTTATGATCTAAAAGATTTTMATCTGTAAGGGTGTTGATTGGTAACGGTTGACATTTTTGCTCACATGTCATTTGTTAATATACAGTGCCTGAAAATACATTTTTTTCCTTAAAGAAGGGATTAAAATCAATCATCATGTGATTTTTTTTTATATGAGTTAATTTTAAGGGATAGCCTGKAATATAGTGAGAAAAGATGGAAATGTGATCAGACTAAGGATGCAGCAACTGTCCAGTTCTTATGTTAGGCTCTGCCTTGCCTCTAAATATCACAGTCAGGCTTAGATCTGTTCCATGGCATAGAACCAGCAGAAAACAAAAGACTGGATTTTGGATACATCTTTACACTAATCACTGTTTTCAGATAGTTCACTCTGGACAAAGTTTTAAAGTGAGTAGTTACAAAAACAGAATTTTATTTTTTGCTATAATTTTGGGATTTTAAAATCAGCAGGTTGCATAGGATAAAGGGATCTTTGAATAGAGGCTGCTCTAAATCACAGCTAGCAGAAAAATAAATGGACATTTCTCAGTGTGTGAGGAAGAAAGAAACTATAGTATATGGCCTTTACTAAATGTAAATTATAAAGCAGTTAATGGTGCAGGAAAAGCAGAACATAAGTGATATGCATCTGGAAAGAAGTTTGTACCACTAGGTATTTTGAATAAAAGCTGTGAAAGGAAGATAGAACTGTCCGAAGAAAAAGCTGCTGGACAAGCAGTGTCTAAACAGGGACAAAGGTGTCCAGAGAACTGGCAGATGGACGGAGCAAAGGATCAAAAAGGCCCTTAGGCAAAAGGCAGTAGTTTCTGAAATGCAACTGGCCATGCCTGAGGTCTATCTCACCGTGCTGCCTTTTGCTAGGAAAGGTTTGGGAGCGTGGAGACTTACGCAGATGTTGACTGTGAGGGTTTCATCGAAGGTGCCCCGCACTCTGCTGAGCTGTGGGGCAATTTGGGGGACGAAGGAAGAGAGGAGTCTGTCAGCTCTTCTATGTCGGAGTGCGAGGAAGGAGGCTTGGTGGACTTCTTCTTCCCAAAGGCCTGTTTGAAAGAGCTTCTTAGCTGGAAAGCAAACACAGAGCGATGTTATTGTCCCTCTCTTGGCATTCTTTTCGTGCAGCTCATGTTTTGAAGAGTTAGTTTGCAGATGCCATCCTAGCCACTGCCTGAGGTCAGTATACAGAAGCAAGGTATTAACATATGCAACACGGTATCTCTAAAAACATGATACAGTGCTTTGTTTGATTTTATTAATCCAGCGCAGCGCAAACTTAATGCTACTGAAGGAGAGCAGGACGGAGCGGTACGGCGGCGATGGCAGCGGGGTGCTCATTTAAAACCATGAATCCTCTGTGGAATCCCATTGCCATGGCATTCCCTTCAAGGCGACTGGCTTTAAATAACCACTTTGTGTCTAGGCACAGGCAGACACTGCTGTTATTCAGTGCTAAAAGACAAGTTCAATTTACCGGGTTTGCCAATTTGCTGATACAATTTTGAGTGGCCAAACTACTGAAACGTTATAGTTTGGGTCACAAGCAAGAGGATTTAAGCTGGGAGGTAAGGGTTGCTGCGTTGAACTGCTAAGAAAAATGTTAGCTGGAAGGGAAATACTTTTTGCTGCAGTTTCCTTTAGAGTAGTAAGTTCTCTGAATGTACAAGCGTTGCCTATTCCCTCTAGAAGCTCTTAACCAGTATTAAAAAGGGACAGAATAGCCAAAGAGCCATTTATTTCAGGAGCCAACAGTTTTGTTTGCAGTGAAATTTAACTAACCCATTCTTTGATACCTTTGYCTAAATACAGAAGTTGTTCGTATTAGGAAAATGAGTTTGGTTTTTGTTTTTGTTTTCAGCATAGAACTCAATGACAAACCGATTCCCCTATAAAAAATGAGGTACTCAAACAGTTTATTTCCATGGTATAATTGCAGAGTGGGGAGTGTGACCACTGATCAGCAAAACATTATTTAAGTCCTTTCCAGCTCATGGTATCTAAAGAGAAAGAAATGGATTTTGGCTACACTCCCCCTTTCTATAGTCTAAATTTTCAGATTAAAATGAATAGAGGCAAACTGAGAAGACATACAGGATAATCTGTTTTTAGAAGGTATAAAAGCCTACTGCCAAAATAAATAGCAATCATGCCAAGATAGGGTTCTTTATAGATGCATGCCAAATTTTCCATGGTTTATATTCACCTCACTTCCTCTAGAGTTCACCTTGCAGAAACATGAAAGAGTGTGGAATTACAAATCAAGGGAATGAAGGCTGATCAGTACTTTAAAACAAATGTTTATGCAGGTAATATTTTTAAAACAACAAAAACATTTTCTGATTATTTAATGAAAGTATTTGATCAAACCCTTAGCACTATCTGGTATTTGTGTCTTCCATTCAAAAAGCATCTTAACTTCTTTAAAACCTAGATTACTTTTACATGAAAATTCATAACAGATTTCAACTCCCTTCAATGCTGGGTGACATATTTGAGCCAAGCCTTTGAATCAGTCTCCTACCAAAGAAAAATAGAACAGAGTTTCGTTGTGGCCCAGAGATGTTTTTGGTCATAGCAGCTGTTGTTAAGGTCATTTTTTAAAGGCTTTATTTTAATGATCTTGACTTATGCAAATAATTCCCCACTGATATTCAACAATTTTTAGTTTGCTGTAGTGTCACAGTATGGGTACAAGTGAATTGCTTCGTATCCATCTGGCCCCTCAAAAATATTGTTGATGGAATGGGCCATTATGCTACTCCAGCACTAGGAACCGACCTCATTGCTGTAACACCGAGTTCAGCCTGAGCAGCTCTTACCCAGTTTTTCTTTTTCTTTTTCTTGGAGTCAGCATCGTTGCCGCTGCCAATGCTGGAATGGCTCGTGGCACTGTTGATGCTGGAAACGCTTTCCGAAGAATGCTGCCGCCTTATGCGTAAATCTAAAGAAAAGAAAACACTGTGAAAGCCACGTGTCCAGGTGATGCAGCCTCCGTGTACTTATGCAGCATCCTCCTCTGCAAAGAAGATCACACCTAAATGGCATTATCCTGACAGGGGCAGGGATTCAAGATGGGATTTCAGCCTGTGAGGCACCGCATGGGAATCTACGGGACTGTATAGAATTAGGCTCTCACATCTGGGTCTTACTGACACGAAGGGAAGGACCCTGCACTGCAATCCAGGCAGGCATAACCTCATAACTAAGCAGCTTCTGTTACARATGGATTACTTCACATATAACCATTGCATCTACTACTTAAACAGTTATTTTTCTGAAGCGTATAGCCACGACTTGACTCGCTGCAGGCCTAATGGGAGTTCAGATGCTACTTTCCAGTATGCTAGGATGGAAATAGGCAGAGAGGAGTTCATTAAAAAGGGATGAAATAATAAAATAACCAAGAAGTGGAGGGTATTAGAAATGGTTGGTGAGGCTTTTGAGTTTCTATTTCTTAGAAGTCTCTGAAAGCTATATCATCATCACTGGAAAATGCTCTTGCAGAATATAACCACTAATACCGAGGGAAATTACTTTTTAGATTACATTTACTTCCTGAAAGTTAGGTTTGCCATACTCAAGCCATGCATGAAATGACCTGAGGGCAAACATCTTATTTAAATAATGACCTCTTTAAAGAAAGATCAATGACACCCTCAAAAATGAGTGCTGCTATCATTTTTCTTCCTCAAGTAATTCCTCTGCTGTTGCTTATCAGCAGGCATTTTTGAAGTATGTATTTATCATGTGATGCCTGCCTAACTGCAATGACAAATTAACTCAGCATCTGGAATTTAAAATGTCTGTTTTCCTCCATTGATTTGGCACTTCTAGAATAAATAGAGCTGTTGTCACTCCACCTCTTACTTATGAGCATAATTTTCTGAGCTGCATCTTGCTCTGGATTTCCAGTGAATATCCATGTTTCATCACAGTAATGCCCTACTGCCTGGGACGTACTTCAATGTACAACCGAGGTAAGTCTTAATACCCACTGACTGACCTCCTGTCACACAGCTTGGGRAGAATGGGGCTTCTGTGGCTGACAGGAAGGGCAAGCAAGGTTCCCAGCTGTGCCAACAGCACAAGCGWGCCTAATACTGACTCCAGACTGCCCTTTCTCTTGCAACAGAGCCCTAAAACAACAGCAACAGGGTGACTTAGCTTTTCTCTGGGGAGAAGCTCTGTACTTCTTTTAATAAGGACAAATCCATACCTTTGTGGGCATGATCAGGGCCGTTCAAGGCTCCTTGAATAGCAGCTTGTGCAGCAGAATTCTGGGCTTTCAGCATTTCAATGGTTTCCCGTAGCTCTATAAGCTCCGATTCCTGGGGGAAAGGCAAAGAGAGCATCAAAACACCTGGCACAAGAACAATGTTTATCTAAGCTTAAAAGAAAAGACAAGATAACAGTGATCAAACTGAATTGTTGGGGTGAAAGCAAAACARCACTAATTTTAAGTAGAATGCATATTTTCTCTGCAAAATTATAAAACTCAGCTTTTGCATTTATTCTGTGTAAAATCTTGTGATCTTTCAAGGAGAAGAGTCTGTTGACAAAGATGAACCTAAAAGGAGATTAAACTGAATATTCATTATGAAATTAGGAATCCTCTGCCCCTCCTCCTCTGTAATTTTATTACCAAAAAAAAAAGAAAAAAAAAAAAAAAGTTGAAATTATATCCTTTGTCACATCTTACTACTGCTCATTGGAAAAATCCTGACCTGACTTTCTGTATTTTTTTCCAAACATTTGAAATGCTAGAACAGTAAGTCAATTACTAAAAAATGTTTAATATTACCTGTCCTGTAACTTAAAGAAAAATTATTCTTCTTCAGTGCAGCAAGTCCTATACTGGAATGCATAGCCAATTTTAATTAAAAAAAATAGCTTTTATTATAGCTGCATTAAACCTGTTCTTCCAACCCCTTATTTATATAATGAGGATTAAGGGAATTTTATCTCAGCAGTAGAGAAAAGAAGACAAGGAAGAAGACATGTTCCAAATCTTTCGGGAGACAAGCCTTGCTTAYGAGATGATTTGTTTCAATGTCACTCCTTAATCTCTTCTCAAAGGAGAACATTCTGAGGGAAATTATACTTTGTAAAATAGTCAAATATTTTGTGTTAATAAAATTCTATTCTTATGTTTTGTTTAAAATGGGGGGGGAAAAAAAGGGAAAGCAATACAATTACTACCCATCCAGTTCACAATGAACCTTACCATATTTCATTTGTTGGTGCTTGACTAGACTGAAATATTATTTTGATAGGACAGCTAAATAACTTGCTTAGTCTTGAGCTTGCTACAAAGCCCTATATTTAATTCACTAGCTATCAGGTTTCAATTTTTTTTWAAAAAAACAGTCAAAACAGCATAGTGAAAAACAAAGCTGTTTTGTAGTGAATATGAAAGCCAACCTGCCAACAGGATAGCCAACACCCCGAAAAGAATTGTTTTTCTCTTCTTAAAACTCTTCCCTTCCCATAATCTTATTATTCTGTCAATGCTGTCATGCTCAAATGAAGTACTCCTGTAGATTATGATGAGTCTTTGTTATAAGATCCTTCAATATGGATTAAACCTAGTGCCACATATGTTTTAATTAAAAACTGGAAACGAGAGATTTTTATCTTTAAACTGTTCTGTAATATCGTTTGGGTAAACCTGACACTGCACAGTGTTATTCTTCTGGAGCCTTATGAAGATCTGATCAGAACAGCTATTAAGGAAAGATCTCTCCGTCTTATTGTCACAGCTGTCCCTGTTCCCTTCCAGTGTTTTCTAAACAAAGCTCCAATAAAATCTGATGACTGTTTTCCACACTAGAGCATCTGCTTTGGTAACCGCACCTTTTGTTCGGCTGTCATTGTGAGGCTTTGCAGTCGGCCCGTCATATTTCCTAAGCTTTTTTCGAAGGCTGCCACGAGATGAGCCTAGGGAAGAAGCAGAAGAAAACATTTGTTGGGAGAAAGGGTCTTAAATGTACTTTCAAACTTTCAAGAACATGAGAAGTGTTTTATACATTTTTTTCTAGACAAACAATATCAAGACTTTGTTAAACCCAGTACTCCCACTCTGGGCTTTCTCCCAGATCTATTCTTTTTTCCTCCAAGCTCATCATCTCCAATTCTTCTGTATTAGCTTTAAACTCAGAATGAACTAGCTTGGGTAGGTGAAGCAGCCTTGGACTTAACTGATGTATTGGCCAAAATAGCTTCCAAATAGAAATCCAGGAACAATTATTTTAAATTACTAAACACTTCAGAAGAGGAATTCAACTAACTTATCTTAAAGGAAAAGTTTTAAGATCCCACATAAAATAGTCCAGAGAAATTCATAGATTCAAAGAAAAGAATCATGATTATTTCTRTGATATGTCATTGCTAGTTTTACTTCCTCAAACACTGTTTTATAAAATATTAATACCTTGAATTGATTATACATATTCATGTACATATATAAATACCAAAATATCTATATGTGTGTTTCTATATGTATAGAAAACCTTGAAAATCATAACTCCTATTTTTCAGTAAGAAAAGTGATACAACTGAAACTGATTTATAAATGTCTCCTTACAAAAAGCTTCACTCTGCAAGCAAAACACACACAAAGATTATGTCCAACTCTTTATTCCTTCTAATTTACATTGAGATTTGCAGGTAGAGAAGGGCACGGGTTCAGAGAGAAATCACCAAGCTAAGCTGGCTTGCACAGCCAAGGGAAAATTTAGCTCCTATGAGCTAATTCCTATGAGAATTTAGCTCCTATGAAAAGCCACAAAAGCCCAAATCTCCTGTCACAAAACCAAAYAGTAGAAGTAGAAGGAAATATTTATTTTCACTCTTCAATTTCAACAGTGATAATAGGCAAAAATGTCAAACATAGATACTACAATCCACTTGGAAATGTAATTCACGGAGACCATATTTGTATGCACAAACAGATTAACTGAGCTTCCTCCTTGAGAACCTTTCTTTCTTTTTAGTACACCAATACATATTCATGGTGCCTGTCAATTTTTGCAGGTTCAAATTGGCATGCTTGTGCAAGCACAGCTAAAACTGTTGAAATCCTTCTGATCGTATCAGAACAATAATCAGAAAAAGACACAGTCCCCAAAGTTTTCTGTCATGCACTGCAGAGAAAGAAAAGATGTGTTTGCCATTTTCCTTTTTAATTTATTCCTCCYATAACAATAATACTAAAAGAATAACAAATACATAGCAGTGGCCCACATTTGTGCCTCCACTTGAGAACTGTTATTTCAACAGGTGGCTCTYATGTTGTGTAAACCATTTCCCACTGCTGTAAAGATTTCGGTCCCTTGTAAATTCCTTCTATGAGAGTGAACTATATGATTAGCAAATAGCTTGTTTAATTATGTATGGATATGGTGTTCAAACCATCTGCTTTATTCATACAAATGAGGAACTAGATCACTTCTTATTTTCCTGATAATTCTTTCAATAAAGGACATGCATCTCAAGGACTAATTTTCAGTGAGTCTAGATGCATATGTAATTTCTTAAGGACTAAGTAGTAAGTGTACATATTTCTAACTTAATGTATTTATCTTGGTTTGTATTCTTCAAGTTAGAATTTTAAATAAAATGAACTCTGCATACATGCTGAATACWAATCGGACTATATCAACTGATATAAAGTTACTCTTGCCAGTTTGAAAACTGCAGACTTGGCAGGTTCCCACCACACGGTCACTCTGAGAAGAAAAAAGCAACTGCCCTTCAGCAACAATAGCTTTTAATCTTACTTTTTTACTTAAATAATTAGCAACATGTTACAAGCACCTGGACTCTGTTTGGTGTGTGGATTTTGGCAATGATGACAGCAGAGTCCGGACCCCACCAGAACCAGAGCACTGGCGAATGTCTCTTCAGCACCTGTACTTAATGGGAAACTAATGCAGCTCTCTGCCCACTGCTCCATGAAAAAATCTCTGGCTAGATTATTTCTGCCTTGCTTTTTTTTTCTTTTTCCAAAATTACTCAGTGGCAACTACTGCTCTTTGGTACCCAACCCAATATGTGTGAAGTATTTTTCCATTCCTTAGTTATAACTTTAGCATATGTTACATGCAGCTACAACACCAACACAAAATTATACAAATAACAACCAAAAAGCATCACTACAAATGATGCTGAGGTCCCTGAAACTATCACGGAATTGTGTGAAAATCATTAGAGGAAGATGCCATGTCACAAGAATGGATTCTTACTAAAATTAAGCCAACGATAGAATATATTATCTTAGTCATAAACATAATGGGATCAAGTTGATGATGGATTTCTCCTAATTCGAGATAAACACTACAAAGCTTTTACAGGATAATATTGAACAGTCATCATTCAAAGGGCTACCAGCTGATCACTACTCAAGAAATAGCTTTCAATTGCATTGTCCATTATCTTAAATGTTTATTATAACAAACACCTGTTCTATGAATATTAACCTTTAAAGTGATAATCTCTACTTCTATTTCTATTGCTCTATTTTTTTGTAAAAAACCCCATATTTGTCTATTCATCAGTCAAGGGAACTATTGATGTTGACTTGCACCAGAAGAAATACTATTTTAAAAATAGTAAAACTTAGTTAGAAAAGGCTAAATTTAAAATTATATGTGTACATATGTACATGTATGTATTATACGCACATGTTCCAATATAAAATCAGCCTTAGTATTTAAAATAATAAATCCAAAACAATTAGAAAATGTCAAACAATTGAAGCAGAACAAAAGAGCGACTGCGACTTTTTAAAAAGCCATTACAATTTTAAAATTCTAATCAAATTCTTCTTTTATATTTAGGAATTTGGTAATTGATTTTGATTGAATTGGTAAAGATTGCTTTGCATCACAGGCAGAGGATTTYTCCTTTATCCAGAAAGAGCCATCCCTTCATTCTAGAGATAGTGTTAAGGATTTTCTTTTCATATATTGCTGCTGGTTTCTCACACCTCAGGGAGCTCAGTGCTAGATGTGGCAGCTGTATTTACAACATACATCATCTGAATACCATACGAAGCAGCCAGGAGAGTGAAGGTGTTTCAGGGGACAACTATTCTAACATCAAAATACATTTTCATAACTGAATGCAGCATTTACACTTGGAGATAAACTGGAGCCAGAGTTRAGCAATGAGGCATTACTGTTAGCAAGTATAAAGCAAAATAAACGAGTTTGTAAGATGATTTACATGTTACATATGCAAGATGCTATACAGCTGTTAATTTGAAGATCCACAATATATGGATTAATTTTGCATTCTTCTGACATCTGAAATTCTCCCTGGAAATGGCCAAGGAGACTTAACACTTGGGAAGTGTCTTCAGCACTTAATTAGATAGCCAGGTTTAATTGAAAACATCTTTTCCATAATAAAAAAAAATGGGGAGCCCCTGCATGTCCATGTCCTCCTCCGCTCGCACCTCGCAGCCAGGCTGCCGGGTAGCGGTTCGGAGCCGGCCAGAGCGGAGCATCAGCCGCAGGCCCCGGCACATCCCGCGGATCCCGGGGCTCCGTGTGCTGCACGGCGCTGGTCGGAGCCACCCCCAGGACCTCGAGGGACACGTGCCCCTGTCAGCCCCGCGAGGAGGTGGCTGCTTCCCTGTGAGCTCCTCAGTGACACCCGAGCAGCCGGGGAAAAGCTGGAATCACCAAAAAGGAATTCCTGAAATGAGGCACCCAAGCGGTGCGTGGAGCCCACATGGAATCATCTGCAGGCCAAACACTGCAGGATTAATCAAATGAAATAAACTTGAGTCCAATTAACAAAACCTGTGTAATAAACGAAAGCACCAAGGAGACATCTCACAGGGGCTTTCAGGACACTGGAGAAAAGCTCCAGCTTCAGCCGCCAGGTTTTGAAAGAAAATAAGGCACCAAGCAAAGGCCTGACCTACTTCRGCCCTACAGCCCTGTAATGACATACGCACTCCAGAAGCAGCACCTTCTTTCGTGGCTTAGAAAGTAAAGAGGCAAACTTTCATCTCAAAAATGAGAAGGATTATGCTCTTTTCTTCACTTCCACACAGCGTTTTTACATTCTGTTTCTATCTCAAGACCATAGCGAGATAGAAAGGGCTGTGTATTTTCAAACACAAAGCAAGGAATTTCAGGGGAGCTTGGGACTAAGGCTTTGAAGATGACTTATTTACAGCAAAGGCATCAGAAATGCCTGAATACTCTTATAGTCAATAAAAGGTATCATGGAAGACACTGAATCTGCCAGAGATGGATTCATATTAAATCAGATAATTACTCTCATGATCTTTATGAAAAGTATATAATAGATTGCTTTTTAGCATCAAAGTATATTCTGTAATAAGGCTAAGTTTCATAGACTGTGGCACGGGAGGTTATACATGTTTTCATACCATGTTTTCAAGGTGAATTTTACTCTTGATGTTTAATTGTCACTCTATATATTTTATTCATATAAATATGAATAACTGACAGAATTAGCACTAACACATTATCATTAAAGACTTTGTTTTGACTGTTTTTGCTGGCGTCATATATGAAACTGAGTAATAACATGATCAGCTTTAGGGTTGCTTATTGGTTTCAAGTTTAATGACTGTCTGCACAGAGATGGAGACGATAGCTGACACAGTCAGAACAACATGATTAAATTTCTGTTTATGTAACATGGGATAGGTATGCATGTATTTATAAGCACATGTGCACTATGGATTTACAAATATTGTACTTATGAACAGATGTACACACATTTTTTTTTAGCTGTCCTGATGAAAATGTTACCACTGTCATCTTCACCGCACCRTCAGTGCACCCTCTAATACTGGGGATCTGGTTCCAGTCCTGCATGAGACTGGATCCTCAACCAATGTAAGATGTGTTAAAGCCAACTTAGGTCTTTCTTACTCATGCAGCAGAATTAGTTTGAGTGAAAACCAAACCAAAACAAAATGAAATGCCCAGTTCTTAGCTTGACTCCACTCTTATAGACCAAATACAGGGTTGGACTCAATTTAATTAGGACTTGGACTAAACTTTCCAACTCAGCCACAACCGCTAGCTTTATGAGAAACGAGTATGCACAGAGTTCACCACGCACAAAGGGATACTGGCCAGAGATACAGGCAATGACTCCTAACCTAAACTTGGGAGAAATCAGACACAAGTGGCCCAAAGTCCCCAAGCTGCAGCCTCACTGGTTCAGTTGTGTAAGAGAATGCCCTATCAGCCTTTTTACTCTATCTCTACTTCCTAGTGGGTTAAAGCTTACAGCATTAGTGTGATGCCTCAAAGAGGATGGAGACTGAACAGAGTTGTGTTTCAGCTCTCCCTTTCAACACAATGGCAGGAACAAATATGCTGGTGTTTCCTGCTCAGCACAAGGGAAAGGAGGGAACTGCAAACTGTCGTTCTGTCTYGTCAGTAAAACAAGGCATGGTAGTGAGAGTCCCCAGTTATTATGGACAGAGTGACTCCCAAATCAGCTCTATAGCAGGCATGTGAGCACAGGGAAATATTCTAGTTTTGCTCATGGGGCACCACTGCTTGCAGAAATCCAATCTTTTCTTTGTAGAAAGAAAAACTCCATGTAAGGAAGAACCGACTTGTTAGTAAACACGACTATCTTAGACATGCTGTCTTAGCTGTTCTGGTGTTTATTTTACTTTGTTGCTCTCAGGACAGGAAAGAAAAGAATAGCACAAGTAAAAACATACCCACTAAAGATGAAGACTACCAAGATTTACTTCTAAAATATGCAAGAGAAGGAATCTCATACCCCAACTCAGAATTAGTTTTTGAGTTTGCAAAAAAGCAAGATTTCAATACTGCCTGATTCATTAGTGTATGCTCAGACCTCAGACCAGACTCAAGAGACTATCTGTGCCAATGCAGAAGGAAAGTCACTTGTGGCATCTGAGCTGAGCAGRAGGAGCAAACAGCAGCTTTTCCACATTTTCAAATGTAGCAGTCTAAAAGAGTAAGTAGCTTTCACACCCCCAGGAATTATTTTTCCAGCAGGAACACAATACTTCCTCACAGAATTAAATTTCCTTATTGAATTAATGAATTTCTTTAATGAATTTCTTTAAATTACTGGCAGTAGCTATAGATTTAAATATTCAGTGTGTCTAAGATTGAAGCAAAGCAGTCTAAAATTGTGCAAGACATCAGGAAGCTGCTCTCTCTCAAAAAACAAAACACACACAAAATGATGCTGTCTTGCAACTACAGGTCAGTTTTGGGAATGCTAATTATAGTTATATTCTGAATTGGCTTTTAAAAATAAGCGCCTTCACTACAGATTGTTCAGTAACTATCTGGTAACTTCAYCTGAAACCATAGTAACCAAACGGGATTTTAGCTCACATTCTCTAGATTGCATTATTTTCTGATAAGGTCTTCAACACCTCATATCACTCCTGCATGACAACTGGCAGAAACAGGAGGGAGCTCTCTGTGAAACAGCCCAGTTTCCAGTAGCTCTGCATCAGCAGTTATTGCAGCACATGGATTTCATACACAGTTGTGCATTGTTCTTCCCATCTACCTGCATTGTGAAGGACTTATCTTCACAAAATGGAACTATAATGAATCCTATCAAAAACATCATTCATGCCCTTTTTGCGGCTTTTCTAATTATTTATTTATTTAATTTYATTTATTTATTTATTTAWTTAATTGTTTCTGAGGACSTGAACTGGACAGAGCTGTTATCACATTCAAAGGAGCTGCTTATTCGTTGCTCTCTCTCTCACTGACAGCATGAATGTGATTGTAGTTCACCCTCCGCCACTATTCCTAAGCTTCCTGCTTTGCCTTGGAGTCTCCACCTTACAAGGACAGTCTGTCAAATGCAGTCTGACAAATTCATGACAACAATTATATCACAGAGTTGTCTGTAATTTTTAGTCCTTCAGTGCTCTTCTACAGGAAGTGGAAGCCCAAACAAATCAGCTGCTGTTCAGAGGGCGTTTACGCATAAATCACGTAAAATTTTCTACACTTCTGTTTACACTGTCATACCTGGCAGCAGTAATTCCACCACTGTAAATGTCAAAATCTATTCATTTTGCAGACATTGAAGGACACTGATGAAGGCAAATTCATATTGAAAAATACATTTTTCTGTTCTAGCTAAAATCTGCTAGTGATTTTTAGAAATTTCTAAATTCTATCTCTTTTTGCTCAGTATATTGCAGAACACCTGTAGAAAGCCACACTGCCTTCGTGAAGTTGATGCGACTGTCTTTTTAGTGCTTATATCATTCAACTCATCAGCAAAAAAAAAAATGCTCTTCAGTTGTAAAAACGCAGCAGCACGTGGGCTGTGACAGTTTAATATCCACTGCCGYGATAACATTCTCAGGAAGACTCAAGATCAAGATCATATTTGAATGACAAGTAATGGAAAAGTTTTTCACTACCACTGTGAGTCACAGTTTGTTACGTATCTCTGATCTATAGGGAGTACATCCCTATACATAATATCTAAGTTTATATGCCACATAGTGATACATATATATGCATATTGTATCCACACACACTCATATACCTACATATGTGTGTATACATACATAAACACACAAATATATATATATCTTTAATAGCTAAATAAAATAGTTTGGTGACCATGCYACTGAACTTGAGTCAGCTGCTCCTACTTGCGATGAATCAAATGAAAAATGTAAGACATTATACACTACATATAAAATTCTCCTTCRGAAACAGGTATAACATAATAAAAAAACATTATAACCACTATTTTTTTCAGAACTCTCAAGTCATTATCATCGAATATGTTTCCCCTGTGTCTGATTRCAAAATTTCTTTTGTTTGAAGCAAAGTACATATTTAAAGAAATGACTTAGCTTAAATGCATCAAAATAAATAATTAATAAAAGTCTCCCAAAGCAGATGTTGAAACCTGGACTGAATAAGAGCTACTAGCAGATCTGGAAACACACTGTGTGTTTAAGTCCTGTGCACCATCATAGAGCAGAAGTACTTACATTTGCAGAAAGCTGGGATGTGAGGGTAGCAACCTTTTCCTGTGATGCAACCAGCTCTCTCCGTAGTTTCTGAATTTGCTAAATATGAAAACAAATAGATTCTGGTCAATATTTTAACTATTTTTTTTTTTTTTGCTTTGGTTTGGTTTTGGTTTCTAAAAGGACCCTAACTATCTTTATAAAATCTAAATTTGACAAATTTTAATCTCAAAACTACTCAGAAATACAGATCACTAGATGGCACTTACACTGCACCAACTGTTTTCTTGCGCTTAAGCGGTGTATATGCTAAACCCCCACTTACTTTAGCACACAGAGGCAAATGTTTAATCACTTTGTATGTACACGGCCCTGCTTGCACATGCAAATGTCATGTTCTTTTACCAGACTCTTCAAGCTCAAAGCAGGTCCTTAGCCTGATCAATGACAGAGGCCCTCACTGGTGGACACATCTGAGTGAGGTTCATCTCGCCTCACTAYAGGCATGTGATGCAGCCGCCATACGTTAAATGTCTACGTTAGAATGAGACGAAGTGCCAAAAAGTACTCCCCCTCTGCCTGGCACCAAGGAGATCTCGGTGACTAGCTCAGGCACAGATGTCTACTTTGTGGATGTCTAAAGTTAGATGAGATACAGGAATGTGGCTACTTCCCACATGCCATGCAATTCAACCATGCAGCCTGRTTAAGCCATATATAGCTTTCAAGAACTTGCTGGCCAACTTAAAAGAAAAGTAGCTTAAATGTGCTTGCTGATACAAAAATAAACTTACTTCAAGAGTCTCCTCCTGCATCCTTTTATGAAAAATAGGATCCTTAAGCAAAGTTCAGCTAGAATAGACATCTAGCATGAAACTCATGAATCATTTTAAGCCGACTTAATCCTACTTTAAATATGATATGGACCCCCATTCTTGCATTGAACTTTAGCACAGCATAGAGTTTCACYTTGAACCCCTTTCATTTTTGGTCATAAAAAGAATTATTCCACACTAGGGACATGAAATGRGTAAAACCAGATGAGGAAAAGGAATATATAACATTCACACACTAACACTTRCATTAATAAGGACTACTGCAATACTTAGATGTTATCATTCCCTTGAAAATCAACCAGGAAAATTGTACATAGTTCAAAAACAACGGGTACTTGTACATTTGTGATACAAAGGTACCTACATCACCTACACTAGCTCAAAGCAAAGCACACAGATTACTGAGCTACTCTCCAGCCCGGACTGCCACTTCCTTTCTTCTTGTTGGYTTCTCATAACAATTATTTTTATTTGATCTTCCTACTTAAACTATATTTTCAACACATTCCTGCAGATACGCAAAGGCAGCTCTCTTCAACATGTCCTGTGAAATGTTCACAGAGCTCATCTTCTAGATATTGAGAAAATACACAAAAAAAGAAAATCTGTTTCACCTCAGTACATAGGGAAATGAAGAGAGTTATAACATGTTTTTTAGATCCTTTAACTTTCTGAGAAGGGAGCTTAGAAAAAGTTCAGGAAAAAGTTATACTGACATATACTGTGATAAGTAAGGAGGTAAAAGTATGTTTATTTGTCTGTTCATCTTCCTYCAAATGCTAAGAATTTGCTATAATCTTTGGTGAACTTATTACTGGATTATAATAGCCAAAAGCAGGAACACAGTGAGCCCAGCAGTCTGAAGGCACATAGCTCTGTGAAGTGTTAGAAGGGCACCCCTTGGTGCTGCATTTTATTGCTGCTACTCCTCATGGCCTTTTAATACAACCAGTATTTCAGTCAGGGAAAGGCTGTAATTTTATCCAGCTGCTGACCCCCTCTTGTCACCCACTCATATACTAGGAGGAGAGAAAAGCTGTTCTCTGTGTCACAATTGATTTATAGCTGAAATCAGTCTRCATTTCTCTGAAATTCATCAAAGCAATCGGTTTCAGAAACTTAATACAATGCAAAGTGTAAGTGATACAGAAGTTCAAAGGAGACATTTTAAGTATCTCTTCTCCTGAAAAGCAGCACATTACYGACTTGCACAAGCCCTTGGATGCAATAAACAGAATGGTATTAAATCTGAAACCAGGCATATCACAAATCTTTCACTCAGAAGCCTGGCTCTCATCGATTCTTCACACCTTTTCAGACCTCATCCAGGAGCACTGCTCATTGAGAATGCAAAGAAAACATTACCCAGGGCAGCTACAACCCTGGCTTTCCCCTAGCAACTCTGAATTTTAGCTATGCCGGATAATCAATAAACTTCCAAATAATATCATACATCTATGTTACTGTAAAAACACAGGAAAGTTTTACCTCTGAATGTGCCTTTTCTTCTGCCTGCAAGGAAAGAATGAAAGAGGAAAAAAAAAAAGCTTTAGAAACAATGTGCGACATAGTTATATGAACAGAAAATAAAAGGCAGCTCCATTTAAGTGAAATGAATAGCGTCATGGATTCATTACCTCCAAGGAAGGTATGCTGTAGAAACAATAAATGGAATTCTTTTCAACTTGGAAAARCTCCAACTGAAAATGCAAAGAATTTGCCAGCATCCCGACCGCTGGGCTGCAGGGGCTTGCACTTAAAAGTAATTTCTTCCACACAGAGTACTGACCAAAATATTAAGATGGCCTATCAAGGTGTGGTGAAATTTTAGCTCAAGCTTGTTAATATTACTTAATAACTTCAGGTATTTCCCGTATTGTTATGTGTGGTGTCATATAATGCCCCTATTTACTTAGCAGACTTTTTCAAAAAGCCAAGAAACTAAATTATTACACTTGGAAAGCATCTCTTTGAATAAATTTTACTCTGCTAAAGCTAAAAACATCSAGTTACTAAAAACCTTGAGATGTTAACATATTTCTCAGTGCAACTTAATTGCTCTTAGCTGATGCATCTGATGCATCCCCACATGGGAAGGATTTTGCATCACAATTGATTGGTCAGCACTGACGTGACACTCACAAACACTAATTTTCTGATCAATGTTCACAAAAGGGCACCTGCTTACAGCATGGAACTGAAAATATATCCCCACCATTGTTACTTCAAATGTAGTGCATGAAAAATCCTGGAGGGTCAAGAAAGACGATGTCCTCTTATGAACCCTGCTGGGCCAGGAAAAGCTAAAAAAGGTAACTCAGGGTTGGTGACCTTGTCCCAAAACTGCCATGGGGGGACCCTTCATCCTAAGTCTGCTGCACCCCAGTGATGATAGACGGGCTGCAGGTTACTAGCAAGTGGCTCTCACTGCAGAGAGGTGTTGCCTCCCCACCTGGGTTCAGCTTCCACGAGCCATCTTCGGTGGCCAGTGGAAGGAGTAAGTTAAAGAGATTCTGGGTGTACCATCAACAACCAGTAGTTTTCAGCCAAGGGTTCCTGCTAGAACCATAATAATCTAGCAGCACTTTGGCACATAGCAGCAAAAGGCTCTAAAAGCAATATGTAATTTTTTCTTTCTTTCTGCTTCTTAGTCATATCCAAGCATCCCATCCTGAAAATCCATTTTTTTTCTTAAGACTTAAAATATTTTTCTTAAGACTTAAAATATTAACATATAAATTATGTCTCCTTTGAGCTCAGCTTGGCACAGCTAAGGAGGACTAAGAGGTCCAAGTGTAACTAATGCTGAGGAGCCAGTGACAGAAATGCAGCAATTAACTAAGGCTGCACAAATTGCAGTATGTCTCATCTGCAGAGTAGGAGGAGATGAAAACTGGAGACAGCCTATCACAACTCACTTCATCACACACCTTTTTTCAAGTCTTGGAGAGCTTTACTTTCAAAACTGTATGAATTTCATGTTACATTAACACAGTTTTGGCTGTAAGCACAGCTAGACAGAAACTACAGACTACTAATACCCACTTACACGGCAAAATTTTTCTTGAAACAAAATATTTGGCTCTATACATGCATGCCTCCACAAGCTAAATTTCTAAGCTTTCCAGATAAATACTGGAAATCTAAGTTGCAGAGCAAGAAGAAAGCCAATACATACAGAAAACGCTGGCGAATGCAGAAGTTGTGGCTCTTCGCAGCTACTCATTGCAATAGCAGCAGCAAAATCTCTCTTCTGAATCTCACATACTAATTCTCARAGAAATAGTCTTCAGAGAATAACTTTAAACCTTTTAGCTACCCCCTGGTAGCTAAAAGCTGTACATAAAGCTCCTGACCTGTATTCAGTGTGTTCTCCGAGGCTCTCCAGAGAGCACTGATTAGGCTGCAGGGAAACAATAGCACCGAGGCCAGTGAGAAATCTGATAAATACCCTTGGCTGAGACACGTGTGGAAAGGCAKCAGCTTGGGAACTGCTGCACAGGGATTTCAGCCTGCATAAGTGAGGTAAAACACCCAGCTCTCGTATTTCCCCCTGAATCTTGAGCTGGGAGTGAGTAACGTGCAGCACAACCCCGTGAAGCTGCTGCTTTCTGCAGGAAATGGGGCACTGCAGCCCATGGCTCAACAGTGAAATACAGTTCCACATTTTCAGTCGATCTGATACCAATTGCCAAGATGTCATGTTTCCACTCCACTTTGCCTCCTCTCTGATCAATTGCTGAAAAGCTGCTTGAATTATATTTTTCACARGATCAGCAGTTCCAAGAAGGAGACAACCTAATATAAACCCCACTAATTTTATCATGTTAATTCTTTCTGGCTCTTTACAAATCTTTCTGTAGTTTCATTACCCTGTCTACATAATCCATAATTTAAGAACTGTGGCTTAGCTTCCCAGTCAGAAGATTCAAAGCTATTCCACTGCCTYGCCATATGACCTTGTATAAATAATTGAAAGTTTCTTTTCCAGAAAAAAAATACTGTTTGCTGATAGTGTGAAGTTCAGCTAATATTTCTGTGTATATGTAATAGACAGCAAAAATTCTGTAACCTTAAATGACAGGAGGTTATATAAATGTGTAGCATTAGAAAATCCTTGCCATAATAAACAAGTTTAGGACAAAGATGTGGCAGGGATGCCAACTAATCAAGTGCTGAACGTATCTGATTTTTGGCATCTCTCAATTTTGTAACATTCTTATAAAATTTGACATCAGAACGGAATTAAGGAAACTCCTCATGCCAATTGAACATAATGCCTGATAGGAAGGTCAACAGTAGCAAGCATTTTTCCACAGGTGAAGCATGTGAATGTGAGTCATATATCACATTAAAGTTGGTCTACATATACAGTCCACCCCTCCAAATAATTCAGGGCTGGTCTATAAGGGGAAATTTCTGCACTTGAATTGCTCATAACTTGCTGCTAGGGGCCAGACAAACCCATAACTTGCTGCTAGGGGCTGGGCATTTCTAAGGATAGAGCAGAGAGCTGGAAGAGGCACCGCTGGGGCAGATGTTGTAGCATCCTGTTCATGGACACAACCTGCTTGCCAAGCCGACATGAGCTGAGCGCCGAGCCAGGGCTCGCAGCCCCCCGAGCGCTCCCGCTGCACCAGAGCACACACTGCTCTTGACCCTGGCTAGGGGCCTCCGTGCCATTCCCAGGATGTTGTCACCTGACACTACTCAAAACCTCAACATCTAAAAGGAGACAGACTCTTCATGACTTCACAGTGTGAAAATAGAGAAGTGAGTTGCTCTTCCATGAAAATGGGCCCRTGGGCATCACTCGTGGCTGCAGGAACTGTTGTGTTTTAGCAAGGGAATGTCCAARTGAGTTCAACTCCTTCCATGCTAAACAGGTTTCCATTTCTTATCAGTAGAATAACTGAAATCACAAAGTGTGTAGCAGATAGCAAAACGCTAACAAAACAATAAAATAGGAAAAAAAAACCCCTTTTGCTTGAGACAGGAGAATATGATTAGCAATTTGTTAATTCCAAATAAAGCTAATCAAGATTACTTAATTTAGGAAACTCTTTTCTTGGAAGAAGAGTGTCTAAATTCATGTCATTTCTTTCTGAATGTTGTCATCTTCAACAAAGATCAATAGATGGTTAAATCAAAAATTGTATCTCCCTTACCCTGGAGCAACTTTATGTTTTTAAAGAGCATCTCAAATGCTGTCAAGACAAAAACACTTTTAATTGATCAACTACAGAACTAGTGGAAAACAAGCAAAAGCACTCAAAATTATCAGCCACAAAGGCATGAAGCCATTTATAGCATGAGGGTTCCCTTGAAATAAGACTCCTGAACTATCATCACCTTCATTTTAGCTTTCAAGATATACACAATGTGATTTTAGCAGTTCTAAGTTAATCACTTAAAAAGATGCAAATGGTGTCTTTTAAAATAGCATAACAATACCAAAGTTGAAAATATATATTTCTGTTTTACTGCAGTACAATTTAAATCCTTCTAAACCTCAAGCTATTTTATTTTATGTAAAATAAACAAGAACAGAGGCAAACAAATCTTTTTCTTTCTAAAATGTCAATACTCACCGTAGAGTAGAGAGAGGATGTGCTGGAGACAAGTGATAACGAGGACCCATGTACTTTAAAAGGAAGAGAAATATGAAATATTGATTAAAGAACATAAAGCCTCCCCCACAAAGCTCAGTAACCCAACAACGCTTCTTAAAATGAGTACCAATCTTCCACAAAGAGTAGTTATTATGTATTAACAGTATAGAAAAGCTGTCCTTATTTTTTCTTTTACTTCAAAAAAAAATGCTGTATACTGAAAAAAAAATGAGAGCAAGACAGTGAGACTCAGTATTAGCAGCCAACAAACCAAGTGTCACTTCTGTTGTTTTGGCAAAAAAATCCCCTATAAACACACACTTCAGCGAAACGAGGACTTGAGTTACTTATATGCCAAGGAAAGTGATGTCAATGTGTGTTCTGCAGAACAGCTTGGAGTGCCCGGGCCGAGGTGCCGGGCTTTGCTCGGCTGGTTTCTCCCCACAGCACAACACAGCACAAGGCTGCACATGGGGAAGGTGCCGCTGAGAGATGCCTCCCTGGTTTCCACTTTCTGCATGCACTGCAGGACCCGGTTCAAAGGCGGCCCCTGGCCCTCATGGAAATGGCAAGAGAAGACCTGGCTGAGACAAAATATTGTCCCTTCTGCTTGTGATGGTTGCCCTAAACTCAAAAGAAGATGGTTGATTTTGTTGTTTCATTTCATTTGTGCTTCAAAAGAAATTTGTTGTTTTATAATCTCCTAGAGTTTGCTAAATATATTATTTTGTTTTGATAACTATCTGGAGACTGTCAGTATGCCTGGCTGATAAGACAAGAATACATGGACTAGACAAACAGAATTTACATATGATTTTATAATTGGGTAATTATTTGAAAAGACTTGGTATACTGACAAGTGAAATCCTGTTGCTTTCAACACAGCAATTTTTTCAACCTCTGCTTAGAAACTAGATTCCCCATTCTGCTGCTGCACAGAGCATTTATACCATTAACTGACTTCTTCGTTCACTTTTCTTTCCCTATAAATTTATTCAGAAATCCTATCTTAAATAAAATACCTTTAGTCTTCCAATAGCAACATTTCATGCTAATCTCTGATGGCCACAATCTGCTGAAAACTCTTTACTGCACTGGCCTCCACTTACTCAGGTTGCTCATGGATCCACTCCAGCTGCATATGAAACGCAACTAACGAAAAGGCTTTCAAGGCCTCTGCTGATACATTACTGAAATACCAGATCTAACACCTCTTTTTCTCTGCATATATATTTCCTATGTTTCTATTCAGTCTTCCAGACTATCCTTTGATGGTTCTCGCATTCCTCAGGTCTGTAGTCACTTCTGTCCTTGAGTTATCTCATATGCTTCAGAACAATCAGCCATCGTCTCTGTGCTGACAATCCACAACTCACTCTGCTCTGCATCCTGCTGTTCACACTGCATGTGCAGGTGGTTGCCTGACATACCCAGTAAAATACAGAAAAAGGTGCAGAAAGCTAGAAGTATTATTTGTCAGCTATCTCATCCAGAAAGTCTTCTTTTCTCTTACATCTTATAACTATGAGCATTGATGGGAAAAAAAAAAGGCTTGGTTTTCTTCAGCTTGTTAAAAAGATTATTTGATTTTTCACCATTTGGAAGTAAGAAAAATGGAAGAGATGATGCTATAGTCTTAATCACTATTAAATTCATTTTTTTTAATTAAATGGTGTGAGAACTTTCTGCTCATGGGAGTTCTGCAAAGGATCAGATTTACCAAAAATATTAAGTAACAGAATTGTTATTGCACATTCAATTAAGATGCTCTGTGAAAACAAATGAACAAAAGTCCCAGCCTCAAAWTCTAGCTTTTGTACGTAGCATTAAGAAATCAAAAAGACTGCAATAAGCTGCATTGAGAATGCAATATAGTCAGATTCAAATGCAAAAATTAGGTAAAGACATTCACATTCTGTTTGCTGTAGGAAGCTGCAGGGAAGTCCTGAAATGAAATTACTCCAAAGAAAAAAAACACGGAATACAGAAGTAGGACCAGGAAAGCAGGGAATAAGAATAATCAAGATATGCTCAGATACTTCAGATTTATAGGCAAAAAGTAAAAAAATCATTTCCAAGAAGGGTTTCCTTCAGCCTTTTCTCCAAAATGGGGCACATTTATTAAGGCACAATGTGATGTATACTGCAGACCATTTTGTGAGGTAAGAAAGCCCTGCAAGCCCAGCTCAACAGAAAGCAAAAAAGATCACACAATTATTTTAACTTTTATGTTGCCGAAGAAATAATTTAAAATTTTACTACATTTTGGAAGTTACCAGGTTTTTTTTGCTTACCCAAGCAGCAACTCAGTCTTACCTTCCTCCATGCTGTCCCTGAACGAACCCGAATGACTAATTGCTCGTGGCCTCTCTTCCAAGGACGTGGCACTGCCACACAGCTGCGAGGAGTCATCGTAGAGATCGAAAGAAGTGTCTTGGGCAGGGATGCTGTTCGAGCGCATCATACTTGGTCCGGGAAGGTTAAACTGGGATAGGCTGGTGGGACTCACTGGAATGCAAAGCTTTATTAATGAAGTGCATTTCCACTGAATGGATTTTGATTCTGTACAACACAGAAATGTATAACGAGCATGATTAGGTGGACTTTTAAGCTGTTTGAAAGAATGGAAGATTTTTATTCCTGCATCGACAGCCACAATGACAGGGTTGAAAAAGAGATGATATCCAAGGAGATGGGGTAGGTGCAACTAAGGCTGTAAAATATGCAGTCACACTGATGTTGGTGTCTGAATAAATACTTGTTCACTTTGATAGCCGAGGAAAGAAAATCAATGAGAGAGATGAAACCCAAAAGTTAAAAAGGAATGGGGAATTGTCTTTTTTTTATATAAATAGCTCTTCTGATAGATCCCTAATTGTATTATTTTGTTTTATACACATAYGCTACTGACTGCAGTTAACATCAAAGCTGCCCCAGCTCACTCAGGATATGCCAATCCATTGTTTTTTTATAGCATTTATCACTGTATAAAGTMAAAATTCTTGCATAGGCCAGTTAAATCCCATCATAAATAGGAATAGTCTGTACACTCCTTGTTCAAATCCAGAACAGCTTTGAAGAATCTCCTTGAAGCATCTGGAAAGTTTGCCAGGAGCAAGGAAAGCCTGAGCGTGTACTCAGCATCTAGAAATGACTCGAATCCAGCCTCAGCCACCGTTTGGAGCTTCTGCTTTAGATCAAGCAAGATGTGCCTCAAGGCACAAATTACCAGAGCAGTTTCGTTGTGAAARTCAACTAATACCACAAAACTATGACAATGGAAGGAAGGAAAGAACAGCAATAAGAACTTAAAATTAAAAAACTGATCCTATTTATCCCTGATGTGAACAATAGAAATGTAAGAAAAAAAGGGTAACAATAAASAGAGAATGACAGAAAGTGAGCACTATTCTGTGTCTAAAACTACTGCAAGTATATGGAAGAAATCCAGAGCAGTGGCTCTTTAGGCAGTATCCAACTTCATTTTTAAAAGTGGCTTTGTTCAAATCTTTTTCCTATTTGTAATAAAGTCCAACATTTGTTCATCTGATTAAACTACTTTCAAGGGATTGCAGCCTGCAGAGGTTATAGGCTGTGACAGGGTGATGGAAGTGTGGATTGCCGCTAATTCTATGCTAAAACTCTAAACCATGCTAAAACTCTATGCTAAAACTCTAAACCACAAAAACTCATTGTGAGACTAAGTTTGTCTCCAGCACTGGGGAAATAAATGTTTTTCTATTAAGTATTTAAAAAATATATATATCTAAACCAGAATTGGGGTTGGATTAACTTGAAACAAGATCCTGAAAAGCCAAATACAAATCAGGACCTATAATCAAATAAACCTAGAATATGACTCACTTCCTAAAATACGATATGATTTTCAAGGATAGGATTTTGATGRGACCCAGCACAGTTACAACCAGGACCTGCAACTGAAGTATACTGGAAAGGCAATAAACCTGAATGCAGGAAATAAAACAATGTCTAGGGTCTGGGTTGACGTCTATTAAAATCACCAGGAAAAAACCCTACTGACTTCGTGAATCTTAAGCTGGGTTAATAGTTGAGTGCTTTGATCTGGAGGCTAATACTCAGCTCTTCCTCAGACTTTCTTCTCCTTGGGTAAGTCATAGAGAATCTGTGCTTCTTCTTAGTATATAAAATAGGATGAATTCTTGTCTGCTCCATGAAGTACTTTGAGTTTCCCTTCATTAGTGAGGTACGATAACATGGCGATGGAAATGTTAAAATAAACTATCTTGCTTGGAAAACTGGGAAATACGAACAGTTGAACTGGATGATTCTATTCTAAAACAGGAGAAGCGGAGAAGGGAAATGGCATTTACCCAGGTTGGAAAAGTGGTATTTCCCCGTTGCAGATGAAGACATAGCTGAAGGGGAAACCAGCGGGGACTGACTGCCAGTGTCTTGCAGGCCTCCGGTTGAATGGGAGCGCAGCCACTCCTTGCCCTCCTCCTGGCTCGTCTGCCGCGACGACGGGGTGTACCTGAAAAACCACAGCTCACATGCTCAAACCAGCCCATTAAATCCCCTTCACTGGTGAGACACAACAAAATCCTTGGAATGCATCAAGCGATTGTTACGGATTTTACCAAGGTAAAATTTACCATCTTATTGCAACAGAAACAAGACTTGAGACCCACTAGCCCAACATTACATCAGGTTCATCCCCCTCCCCACACCAGCACTCCCTTCCTCTGAAGAAAGATGATAAAGAGTCATACAAAACACATAACTGAGATGACAGGAAAGGACTTAAAAGCTACAGCAAGTGTACAGGTTGATGCAAAAGCTCAGATATTGTATGGCTAGGATGGGTAATGGACAGAGTGGAAGCTGAGAAAGGCGAGTAGCCGCTTACAAAATGACACCTGCCATGGATCACGTGTGGGCAATTGGTTAGATGAAAGGAGTGAAACATCAACAACTCTGAAAAAGGAGTTTCTGTGGGTGACGGCAGCTATTCATGCTCAAATGCAAGGCCCAGTGCTCTGAATGCTACTTGGCATCRCATCCTGTCCCAAACAGAGGGGAGGGAAAGGGACAGGGGAAAATCATTATCAGAAGCAAGTTTTCTGAAAGGAAGAAGTCTGGCTATTGAACAATTTATCAACTGCTTGCTATGCTGAACCAGTTGCCAACACAAGTGCAACTGATACATGGGCTACCAGGGAGAGCTGATGACTCACTGCCTAGGCTCTTTCGGCTGGGCTGGAAGAAGGGAAATTCTGGTAGTGGTTACAGTCACGGAAATGTGCAGGCATTTCTTATAGTGTGGGTCTTAACCAAAAATGCTTTCTTCAGCAGTGTCTGCAAAAGCCCACTTCCTTCAGCACAGTCTCATGTTAAAATACAAGTCTGTCCTTCCCCATGTCATGAGCCATCAGTGTTCCCCAAACAGAAGAGCAAAAAGGGCTTTTGGTATTCTGGCTTCTGACTTAAAATGGCACAAAGATTTCTGCTTAGAACACAGATTAAATGAACATGCAAGTTTTTCTGTTAAGCTTGGGGCTTTGTATGATATTTGAAAGCATTAAAGCATCTTTTCTGATAAAAAAAAAAAAATTTTACTTTCTAACTTTCTTTTAAAGGATATATATGATCTATTTTTTCCAGAGTCACACAGAACAGTTACCCAGTGGTTATCAGATCAGATAGATGGTGAAATGTGAATTCAGGATTTGGATTTGAATTGGGATTTCTGTCTGTCAAACCAAACTGGCAGCCCTTTTGGGATATGTGATCAGGCCTTTGTGCCTCCAAGCTGGTTTCCACTCCATTTCTCCCTCAGCTCTTGCCCACCTTCACAGCCCTACAGCCTACAAGCGTCAGTCATCCCATCGCACCTGTGCAGGGAACACGTCTCTGCCTCTTCCATATCCTGCCTTTCCCAGCCCCTCTCCAAATCCAAAGGGTCGCTGCCYTGCTTGTTGTATCTGCTCTCTGCATTAGGGAGCTAGGCTGCCAGGCCCGATGAGACAAGGCAGCCTCCTGACTCTCTCCCTTACATCCATGGAGTGCAGAAGGGGGCAGAAAACTTTTGGTTTCCCTCATGAAGACAGCTGTAATGAGTGGGGAATTTGCTGCAAAGCTGGAGTCTCAGTACTGTTGGGGAGGGCCCAAGAGGACTAGCTGCAGCAGGGCTCATTTTATACTTAGAGAATTTAGATACTAAAACATCTATCTTGCTCCACCCTTCAGCTACATCTTCAATTCAAATTCCATGGGTATTTGCATTTAGTTTTCAAGTTCAGATCTCTCTCTAAATCTTGTTTTTCTCCATGTTTTGAAGTCCACTATATTGCCAAGGTACTTTGCCTGTCTTTTTTAGATCTCCAGGATTGAATGTCTCTTAASATTCATCACATAAGGAAACTATTCCTAACCATATTCACTTTCCAAGATACATCTTGAAACTAAATTTATTCACTGGGCAGACTTGGAAAGAAAAAGACCTTTGTTGAAGTCTACAATTTTTTGGATGGAAACTAAATACCAAGAGCTCAGTTGTAAACGGGATCAGCAGAAGAAAGTAAAGGAAAGATAGTATAGAAAAGGTTTCAGAACAACGGAGAAGCAGCAGTCATGCTCAATAAAATATATACCTTAATCCCTTTTTGGGTAGTGTATTTCTGTCAAGCTGCATGCTGTTAAAACAAAAAGAACCCTAAGGACATATGGCAAACAGGACTGTTCAGAATTACAAATTTTAAAGGTCTAGATTTGGTTGCATAACAGAAGGTCATTTGATGTTTTCTAATATATCTTTCATGAAAAATCCCTGACTCACTCGAGAGGACAATGGGACATGGACTGTTGCATATTCATTTTTCATCCAGGATTCTCTGGGCTGGCTTAGTGGTAATTTGGACACTGTCCAAATCACAGAGAAGTTATTCCCTATCATTTCTAACCTTTCTACTGCTTCACCCCGCAATCTGTGTGAGCATCGTATGGTCACAGCATGAATCTTTATTTTTCACAGCTTGGTAAGATCCTCCAGGAGATTTCCCAAAGAAATGAAGGTCACAACACCTGCGAGGAGACCGCRGGGCTTTGCCAGAAACCAAATGCCAGCCCTGTTTGTAGAAATATGTGCTAAACACAGGGAGCTCTGGCTTCCTACTGCCATGGGGCTCGCACAGCCAGGGGATGGTGGGCAATGAAAACCAGCACCAGGGCACCTTTATTGTATATTCACACACAAACAGTGGCACAGTGGGCCGTGACCTGAAATCCAAGTCTGGAGTTTTCCTAATTTAAACCCCTTCAATGCTAGACAGCTAGTGTCTCGAGGGCTGGGAGACATCCGTTGCCTTTCCTTGGCACCCACTGTCATCTGGGTACTTCCACACAAACGGTTATTAAACCAGACCCTGGCTAGTGTGGGCTACACTTGAACATCTGCATTAACAGAAAATGTTTTTTTTTTTTTTCACAGATTGATTGAGATTGGAAGGGATCTTTGGAGATCATCTTAGTCTAACCCGTTTTGCTTGAGACCACAATTTAGTCTCACCGTAAGGATTAAATTGTGAAATGGCTTTGGGAGGTTTCTGTATTAGATATCATAATCACATTTCTGAGAGCTGCAGGTACTTAGGCCTCTACCTCCTGCCCAAGGAAACTCTCCTGCTATGATTAACGTTGAGTTTCTGCTGTGCTGGGAGCCCCACTCCCACGTAACCTTGATCAAAGAAGGTATTGAAAATATGTTGGAATTAATGATCTATTACCATTAGGGCTCTCAGTCTAATGAGAGCAAAAGGAGTCTAAAACAAGAGTCTAAAACCACTCTTACAGCAGGAAGTCTTATAGACATTTTTCCCAGCTTCGTCAGGGCCTTGTTCTGAATGGGGACAGAGCAAGTGGGAGAAGGAATTGAACAGGTTTCAGCACTGGTTCAGCTGTGGTGCTCTGCGTGAGGACAGGTCACTGCCTGACACACGGCTTCACTTCCAGCATTTTGCTCCCTACACAACCAACAGAAGAGTGTCTGGTAAAAAAGAGAACACGAATTTGAGTGCAAGATTCATGTATTAATTAGTCCCKTACAGAAAAGAATGGGGTCCTGATGGTCCTCTATGTGGTTTATGCACCAATAACAAACAAACATGATCATAACAGAGACAATACCTTCTGCTAATATTTCAAAACTCCTAATGAATGATACATTTTCTAATATTACTTTAGCTTYATATATTCAAAATAATCTATATCACATTATCTAGACATGAAGGAGCGATCTAGARCTCCTTTAAATCAATCAGTGAGCAGAAAGCTGTGATGAAGTCAGATAAACAAACTAACCATCAGCACAGGAGCCTGCTGAAGAACTCCTGAATTCAGCTGCCCAAATGAAATGGGGGTGAATATTACTCAGTATGAGCATGAAATTATTGCAGCTGCTTAGCAGGGAGTTCAATAATCATGTGTGTTTCATGAGAAAAAAGATCTCATGAAGATGCTCTCAGCTTTCAGGTAGTCACATGCAATGATCCATCATTACCCAGGGCTCTAGGCAGTGATACCTGAAAGCATTTCTGCATTCAAAAGCTGAGTTTGCTACTTTAAGCTTCAATAAACTGAACAGCAGTGCGCGCTGACCCCAGTAGGACACTGCCAGCCGATCCTCAGTGCTCTCAAGATTTGTGGGGGTAATATCAAAAAAAAAAATCCCAATTTAAAAAGTTCTTCATTATTTTTTCCTGACAGAAGTAGTGTTTCTGTGGAAATCTTTCTCCTTGGCTCTGAATAAACAGGAGCCACAGACCAATAAAAAGTGAGGCTCAGAATACTATACTACTGCTGACAACGTTTTCCCTTGCTGCCAAAAGCAGCCTTGTAGGAGGAAGACATGTGCAGACATAGACTGAAGTCATCAAGCCCCCTGTCTCTCCGTTGCCATTTTTGGTTTTGCATTGCTGAAACCATCTGCAAGTTCTCTGGGGGGAACTACAAGAAGCTTCTGTTTCCTCCCTGTCCTTGGTGTCGAGGTTGACTTGGGAACGGGGGAGAATGGCCATAATGAACTATCTCCAGGTGATTTCTAACTGTTGCACGGATGCTAGGGAAGAAAACAAATTATTTCAAAATAAGAAACATTTAGGGTGGTGTAGGATGAATTGACCAACATGATATGGGACTTGTATGGCTGAGCATACCAGAAAATCTGATACATGATGCACTGTTTCACACCTTGAAACCAGAGCCAAGCCATCAATTCTGTCAATAATTTTGAATAATCGAAAGTCTTGAAGAGTTTAACTGGATTTCAAGGAAGTTTCATGGTCCTCAAATTTAAACAACATTCTTTCAAACTAAGCCAGAGCTAACCAGTCATGTAATTAGAAACTACTTCCACTCTGTTAATCCTCTTAAAATACAGTCATTTATTACTGATGAGACCACTGTTAATTCCTTTATAACTGCATCTTATGCATCCCCTGCTGTCACTCAGAGCAGCAGAAGGATACAAATCTAAAGGCCCAGCAGGAATTAAGGATCCAGAAGAACTACTGATGATGTGTCTACATGGAAGGTTTCATCAGCCAAACCAGTGACATTTCACCAGTCAACCTAGGAAAGAATTTTATTTTACAGTATGAGTAACCTTTTGCTTTATTTTAAATCCCTTCAAACTGAAGTAAGCTAAAATACAAGTGTTCTCCCACATAGGGAGCCACACTATTGCACTSACAGGAGCAGACTTGTCTAAATACTATTATTGCAATAATAGCTCAAGTGCTGAGGGCGATGCAAATTTTGCTGATAAAGGAATTATTTTCACAGTGATTACTGTTGTTTTTATGAATCACACAGTATTTGTGTAGAACAAACTTTGATGCCATGTCAATATTGCAGTAGATGTGTAGCCCCGTGTTTCTACTGAGCTATTGCTCGGTGGGTAGCCTGAAGCCCAGGCACGCGACCATCTCACTGCCCCTTACACGCTGCTTCTCTTTCATTTTCTGAGGATGTCTGCTTTCCTGCAAGTGAATTCAGTCAGTCTCATCTGAGATGACACTATTGACAACCTGCTGTTACTTATCACTAGCTTTGCTAAACGACCTCTGCCTCTTCCCAGGACTGAGGACTTGCCCACCTTCCCCTTGTCCTCCACTCCTGACCCATCCAGTCACGCGTCCTAGTGACCACAGGGCTAGTTCAGCCAGCTGCTTGGAGCAAGGAGGAGAAAATGCCATTTGGATCTGTAAATTGGAGACTTATCTAGGCAATCTTTCACTTGTCCCTTCCCTTCCAGCATGCTTACTGTTAGCATTCGTTCAGCTATCAAACTGCAATTAATGGCCAAATGAAGCAAGAAAGGTGCTTCTTAGTATCACTGGCTCTTTCTTCTAACATTCGCTAGACTTTCTCTTAGTATCCTCATCTGCACACAATTCAGGTAACTGGCTAGTTTTATCTTATTTTGTGCTTTGATCTGTCTGATGCTGTCCCTACATCACATTAGTATATATCATGACACACATCATTTGGTCTTGGGCAAGCCCTRGGGTAAGTGAAGAGTGAGTCTTCTTGCAGATCATTTCTTACGTCTCACCAGACTAGATCTAGTTTGGCCAGAGGCATATAAAATATAATCTGAATCCCTTCACTGTGGTTTACAAAGGGAAAAAAGGACAAAACCTTTTGGCAAGCAGATCTGTCTCTTAACATAGCAAAACAATACTTATATTGTGAAAAAAAAAAAAGCTTTACTACTCGGAGGTTTTGCTGCATAAAACAGTTCAGAAATAATACAGCACTTGTAGCAGAGCTTTTGGAAAAATCAAACTGCAAAAATCCTGTTGGGGCTATACTTCAAGAAATGACACCATTTTCTCTAGATACCTGTATTTGTTTTGAGGCCAGATCAACATGATAAATGGCTCTCTCTGGACTCAATCATAATATCCCCATACAGACAAATCTGAAAGTTAAAAATGTTGCCAAAGGCCAAGTATTTGGAACCACTGAAATTAAGTCACTGAACAAATACATGAAGTATTAGTGGTGGGGCTTGCTCAGGAGCTTATGCCAAGCTATTAACATTTTGAATGTGATGTTTAATATCCTCTGCATAAATATGATCTTTGGCAGAAATTCAACACCCTTCCACATGATCTTATTGACCTCAGCATTCCTATATGTAATATCAAAAATCAGTGGCGGTTCCTATGAAAAGTATTAATAATTAGCTTTCCAAGAAATATTATTCTACTCAGTTGATGGCAAACATCAAAAATTATTATAGAAATTATTAAAGAGACAGTGCAAATTAAACACTACTCATGTATCAGTGTGTTTTTAGCTGCTGTTGTTACCATACATTAGACTGGTACAGACATACATTTTACAGTGTTGTAAGCATGTTAGTTAGACGTGTGACTTTTCACTGATATAGCAATACCCATGAATACAGCACAACCAACAAAATGAAACATGTGGAGAATTTCCATCTATATTTGACCAAGAATTGTTTAGTTTTTGATTTTTATAAATGCTGATTCACTAAGTGAAATCACTCAATGGAAAGATTGGTAAGGAATCTGGTTTTATATGAAGGGRAAAAAAGTTGATAACACGGCAATATTTTCTTATGTATAGAAAAAAAGCTTCTTTTTTTGCTTTAAATATATATATTTTTGAATCATTTAGACCTAAAATGTTTCTGACTGGCTCGGTATCCTTTTGGAGGAGCAAGATCAATGGCTAATGAAAAAGGTCAAAACTCACTTTTTCTTTACTTTGTGAGATAGGAAATCTTTCTTGAATCTTGAAGATTTTCGCAGGAAGTGAAAGCTGCTGCCTAGCAAAGTTTACTGTCTCYCTCTTACAAAAGGCAAGTGACGATTTCACACACACACACGCACAAAAATAAAAATCTGGGTACAACAGTGCCTTCCCTCAGGGTGGCTGTACCACTTCAAAATATAATTTAAGCAGTAAAACATCCATGGGTAAACAAGTACTTTAACAGCACAGACAGGGGGAAAATCTTCCTTGCCCGTGTCCCTCTGTTCCAGACACTTGCCAGGACTGTGCATATCGTGACGTTCTCATCCTGCAAATGCCTCCCTTGAAGTGAAGCTGCATTTGAGTAAAGAGCTGTGGAATGGCTGCCATGTAAGAAAAAAATTGGACAGGGCTGGGTATTTTAGGGTAAGACTAGGGGGYCAGTTGATGGCAGGGGCCCACCAGCTCTGCCTGTGCTTTGGGTAGTGGGAAGAAAACTGGTGCGGTCCCACTTCCCAAGGAGATGCATTGCTAAGAAGGCAAAGATGCAGCTGGGAGCTGCGGGGACAGCAGGCAGAGCTGGCAGGCAGGAGTCATCGTGCGGCTTTGAGACGTGCCCTTATGCGTAAGGAACTAAGGGTACTTAGGGTGTCGTGCCCTTACTTAAGCAGGTTGCCCTTTCCTGCGTGTTTTCTCCAGAAAAAAAGGGAATGAAAAAAACCAAACACCTTCTCAAGATAGAAAAGACATGCTTGTAAAACCTTAAAAGGCAGTTGATTCAGTTGCCTGAGTTTTACTTTCAGCTCTGTTTCCATCCTTCTTTTGTTTTTAAATACAGGACTAAGCTGCTGATTAAACAGTGTCCCTTTGGGAAAAGAGGTGAACATTTTGTCTTTTTTTTTTTTATTATTATTATTTTTTTGTGGTCACTGTTATCTATAGGCAAGCTCACCTTTCCGAAAGAGTAGATCGGACGCTTCCAGTCCTCATGAGCAGGCTCTGAACCTCCTGAGTGCTTGTTGTCAGTCCAGAGAGAGAGCCGTGATGGCTCAGAGGAAGGTCAATGGACTCGGAACTGGTGTGGAGGCTAGTCATGGACTGGTAACTTGGTGTGTCCTTACTGCCAGCTGAAGAGCTGCTCAGGTTTGCAGCCCACACAAGAGCACCTGATGTGAAAGAGTGCACTGAGGCGGGACTGGAAGCCAAGGAGTGACTTAAGCTTACAACATCTGCATTTAAGTCCGAAGGTTTACTGAAGAGGGGGCTGCTGCTACCACTTTGCCCACCTGCACTGCCCATGCTGCCTGTACCCGAGGATGGAGACTCCAGGCTGCCTTGCCGTGCCAATGTGGTACTAGGGCTGGGCATTGCCGATGTGGGTTTCACACCTTCAGTACTGGGTGCAGAGGCAGCTTTACCACTTGCCTTGGCACCAAACAACCTAAATGTAAAACAAATAGCTTTAGAGAAACTGATAGCTGTGTTAAACATTCATGGCGTAACATCCTAAGAGCCAAACTACACATTTAATTACTGCTATGAAAATAATGCCTACCTAGGTCATTCAATTGCATCTCAGAATTCAATTCACTTAACCATATCACAACAATCCAGGCTAGTTTCATTATCAACAGCTCTCAYTCACTCTTGTTCAGATATGCTCTTTTCACACACAGACCTTCCCAGAGAGAGTTAAATAAGCACATTTTTTTGTCTTAATATTGCATAAACAGATGATACTTTCACCCATAGGCATTCCTACCACTAAGCCATTAGCGTTTAAACCCCTCGCATCCCAAATGAGCCAAATGATGGCCACAAACACTTTGAAAAGGGCATCCTTCATATTYATCAAATGTCTGAGTACTCATGGACAATTTTCCTCTCCTTGCTCTTTTGCCCAGATGCTCATGTGGTCATCAGTCATGTAGCAACTAGTCAGACAGAATAAACTGCACCAGAGCTAAATGCGCTCAGTTTGTTTCCGAGGGCAGTCAAAACASATGTGCAATTCATGTACTTGCTTCCAGTAATTACCAAGAAAATGATTTCTACAGTAATGATAGGAAAAACCTAAATCCTCTAAAACTGTTGAAAGAGAAAGGCGTGTAATGACTTAATCTCCTACTGGAAATACTTTAAGCTGCACTTCAAGTGTAGCTCATAAAAGAATATGAAAATAAATGAAAAAGTGATTGTGGTGTAAAGCAAGCATGGCTAACAATGGAAGAAGCCGTTTTATTTCTTATCGAGCTCTGTGAAATTCAAGGGCAGCTCCCTYAGCAGCCAGTAACTGGAGAGGCTGTTTGGGGAGCTGGACACAAGAGGGCACTATTGGCCTTTCCTCCAACGATGGAAGGGTTTCCTCTAAACGTGCATCATGGCAATTTGAATTTCCAGAAGCGTTACGAGTAGGGCGTTTCCAATTGAAATTTAATTTCACTAATGTTTCTGGTGAAAGATGTGACAAAACTGCTGTGATGATGAAGCTGTGGTAGCAGGAGATCGCTGGCAGTGTAAACACAAACGCTCTTTACCTGCCCTATGGAGCTAAAGGCCCTCGGAGCTGGAGGCAGCACTGCCTGTTCCAGTAACAGAACGTGTCTGAAGGAGTTGCCTTGCTCGCTTTTGGGGATTTATTGACAGGGAACGTGACATTTGCCTGAATATTCAATAAGAATCTATTCTATCCTTCAAATTGTTGTTATCGGAGTATGCTTTAAATTGAGCGTCAACGCTCAAGGAACAGCCCTTTCAGGTCTGACAATGTCTTTAGTGCTCAAAGAAATAATTCTGTTCTGTGAAGAAACATTACTCTTTTCTTTTTCATGCCTCATTCYCTATTTGTGGCAAAATATGCCCAGACAAGGCTTTTTGCCCAGTGAATACAATTTCAATAGACTGAAAACCGCTGCTTTCTACACAYTGTGACTTGAGGAGCTCACAGCCAAGCGCTTACCTTCGAAACGTGGGGGAGGCAATGTCCGGGTATTTGGATCCTGGCTGCCTTAATCCCGGCGTGCCGGCGGCGCTGGCCGAAGTCGGGCTGGATTTGGGGGAGCTGGACAAGGAGACGCTCTCGGAATCGGACACGGCCACTTTCTCCTTCTCCTTGTCCGTCTGATTGACGGTGACGGGACTGGAGCGCCCGGAGCCGATCTTGCTCGGCTCGCGCAGCTTGGAGGCKGCAGCGCCCGCCGACTTGCTGCTCACGTTGGAGTCGATGCTGCTGGTGCTGGAGCGGTGGCCACCCCTGCCGGGGATGCCGCTGCCGCTGGATTTGGAGGGGCGAGGCAAACTGCGGTACTGCAGGGTGGTCTTGGAGTTCACGTGCAACACCCCGTCATCCTGGTTCTGGGAACCATCCAAGCTCGTCTTCCGCCCTGCGCTGGACTTCCCACCGAGGCCTGAGGACTTGGGCATTTTTCCAAGGGTGGCCGACCCACTTGTGATCGTCGCTCCGCTTGAGGTGATTATGGTTGAAGATGCCATCCCAGACTTCTTGAATCCAAAGGAGCCAGTAGCAGTTGATCGCCCAATGCCCGAGGGAGGCTTTTTGCCTTCATCACCACTACTTTTTCCTGCATCTGATGGAGAGCGCTGAATGGAGGCKCCTTTCAAGGGAGTCTTCACTTTTTCTGAAGCTTTTGCATCATCCGTTTTTCCTAAATGAACATATATTTTACARGGTCATTTGGACTTGCAGCAGTAATGTCTCAGTATCTAACTGTAGCACTTACACCACTTAGACCACTATACAGTTAGGATCCCAAAATGAAAAACTACAGAAACAGAGAAATTGTCCTAAGAAAGTAGACTAATTTACATGTCCCCTGTCAGAAATCAGTTCTTTCATTGCAAGCAACTACTAAGCAAATACATTACGAGCAACTATTAAGCATTAAAATCCTGATATTCTTCTGAGAATTTCTCGTTTAGTATCTAGCAGAAGAGCATAAAAGTAGAAAATATTTGAAGGCAATAAAGCTTTTATTTTAATGCTATTTCCAYATATAAGGTATAATATTTGAAAACGAACACAACATACAATTAACATTTTCAGAAATATGACATTAACTGTGCACAAAAATTAATAGCACTTATTAAATTACTTTGATTTTCACTCTATTTTCTTTAACCTAACWGACTGTTCTGTTGTTAGCTAGAAAAATTATCAGAGATGATGATGTCATGGTATGAATAAATCATAACTTTCTTGGTTTATAACAGTATCATTTATACGAGTTAACAGTCTTTGTCATATCTTTGATATCTTATCAAGGTTTTTGATTTTCTGAGAGACTGTCTTTAGCACTACACAGGCAGATTCCTAAATYGTATTTTTACACAATGTTATTGTGGTGTTCTTAAAGGTCTAGATAAGATATCCTCTTCTATATCAAAATATCTTCTTATTTTCAAAAACAACTTTTCAGAGCCAAAGAACACATTTTTTTGATGAATTGTTGTATTTTTTCTTTATCAATTTCTTTTTCTTTAYCAATTGTATGCTCCTAATATGGTTCCTAATATTTAGCATATCAAAGTATTTACGTCATCCTTCTAGTGATTACAGAAGGTATGTAGGGGTGGAGCAATTTGTATTGTGGAACTAAACCATTATAAAGAACAACAGCTCCAAGTCAGCAGTAGRTCCACTCCTGCACTTATGCATGTAATACATGAGTTACCCTACACAAACATGTGCACACRCCAATATACAGATCAGAATCGCAGTGTGAGCACAGATTGTGCTATTCTTAAAAAAAAAATAATGCTTTGGTTCTGTGTTGCATGATAGCTGCCTGCTCATCTTCAGCAATGGAGAAGATCCAGGAAACAGGGCTGTTGTGCAGGAAACCCCGTGTTATCTTTCTCCTCGTTGCCCTTACAAGGTTGCAGCTTCTGAGTCTAAATGGCCACGGACATCGCAAGGATCCTCAGGGGAAATTCTTACAGATCTGTCAGATTCAGCAGTCCAAATGGATAGGAAAGTAAACTAAAGTTGCTGGGTTTTTTTTTTTCTTGTTGTTGTTTTGTTTTGTTTTGGGATGTTTGAGAGGTTAGATACTGTTCCAACTGAGGGGCTTATACATGCTTGTGAAAGCATTCTGCCAGGACAGACAGGGTGCTAGGAAATGTCCTACAAAGGAGCAATCTTTTCCCTAGTAACAGGATGGACTAGAAGATCCTAATAGGGATGTTTCCCATCAATTTTGTTTTTTGTTTTCAAAATTGGATTGTAAAAACATCTGTTCTTTTTTTTTAATTCTGAAAAATCTTCTTTCCCTTTCTGAAAAAGCAGCCTTTTTCAGAAGAAAATATGAAATCAGCTAACACTTATGAGTGTAAAACAATATATTTTTTACAATTTTGATTTCTTAATAATAAAGTGTAAAGTACCTATAGTATCTGGAATGTGATAATTGAACTTCACTTCAAAAACATGCATTTTGGATCCTCTGRTTTGCATGTTTAAGGAAGAGATTAGTTTAAAAATTGCTCTAAGAATTCCCTAATACAAGCTGACTTACTCAAATCATAATAAATCAAAATACTATCAGAGTTTATGTTATGGATGCACTCTGTATGATTAATAAACTATTAGTATGCAGTGTAGCAAATTAACAGATACCAAAATGAGCAAATTAGGATATTATGATAGTCTTGGCTCAGAATCATTTATGATAATAACTGCCAGTGTGCTTACAATTCTGCTACCATATTCCCCATACCTATCACACATTTACAGTATATCCATTAACTATTTTTAACCCAGTAAAGATTTCTTACTGCTAGACTTCAGAAGAAGTCTAAATACAAAGCCTTTATTTTGAATGCTGTAGCCTGAACTACAGAAGTTTCCTACCTGGGGTCTTGAGAGCACTTGTCCCAGCCTTGTGCCTGGATTGAGCAGTTCCTACTTGTGCAGTCATGCCTCTCCTCCAGGATCCTGTTTGGGAAACAGAGAGGGACGCTTTCGGCCCCCCTTTCTCCGACTCTTCAGACAGCCCCGAGGGGAGGCCTTTCCATTTGCCACTGCTGTCTACGCTGCTGTCAAAATCCTCCTCTGGCTTCTTCAGCTCTTCGGTGCTGCCCCAAGTTTCGCTGTCCGTCACTGAGCGCTTCTCCGAGTCSGTCTTCAGCTACAAGACATTTGCATCGTGACAAATGGTCAGTACTACTGTCATCTTTGTTATCTGCTGATTTCTTAACTCCCAAGAGGGCAGGAGAATCAAATATATTGCTTTATTTGTACCACGGACCATGAAAATTTCTCCTATAAAACATTAACACCCTGATGCCAAAAATTTAAAACTATTCCCATCTGGGGAAGAGTCGCTTCCTTTTTAATTTCTTTTTCTTATGCTTTTTTTTTTCAACAGATTTAAACTCTTTCCCTCATAGATAAAACATAAACAAGTGAAACATAATTGACTTTAATCATCAGCAGCAATACCTTGCTGTTGCTCAGCTCCCTGTGCATTTCACAAATGAATCACTGCTCTGGAAGGTTCAACTCAAAACTTTGAATAGTAGAGTTCCTAAATATACTCCTAAAATCCTCTAGGTCCCATTTGTGTTTTCATCCACTCAAACTTTCCATTTATTAATTCAGTAATATTGCCCCAGTAACATGGGGTGCATGGCATCACCAGTGAGAAAGGATGACATCTGAAGCAAAATTATCAGTATCGCAGCTCCTCCTCACTCCTGTTCCCCTCTCTTCCTTTGCCTTTTCCTTTATTTAACTTCCATCTGCCCTTCTTTAACAGCAGCAAGTGGTGATGTTGCCAGCTATCACTGTTCATTACATCTGCAATTGCCACAGCCCTGCCCCTATAGAGCAGGGCCTTTAAGCAGCCTTGTAACCTGAGTGGCATTCGGGAAGGGACTCTCCTCTATTCCATGTTCCCAGAGCTCTGTCTCCAGAGAGAGCCCTTCAGGGCTGCTCCCTAGGCCCTGCTGTCACAAGGCAGAGCCATCACTTGCTGTTTACATACTTGTCATCTGAGGCACACAACATGCAAAAGCTCCCTGCACTTTCACAATATAATATGTGCTTTGGAGAAGGTGGTGCAGATTTTGTGTAAAGGTTCAATGGGAAAAAAGCCCAAGCAAACATCTAAGCAAATACTGCAAGACCCTTCAGAGGAGAGTTTCCACTGGTGTTACTGCTGCAACATGTGTAATGTTCCCAGAACTCTTCCCATAAATGAATGCTTATAAACACATAGCTATACATTTTGAAAGCAAACTGTATCATTTCCAAGAAATGACAAACACAAGACTTTCTAAAAGCCTCTCTTCACCATTATGGGACCTGTGAAGTGATGTCAACTGTTTTTTAATAAGGAAACAACAGCAAGATATCCAATTTCTGCCTAAGGATAGAGTTTGCCTACACTTCTCCAATCATTTAAAGAGGTTGCAAAAGGGATCCCTTGTATTGCAAGAGTATGTTTCCCACCTGGAGAACAGCTGGCAAAATGCTTACATGTTGTGCTTGTCACACTAGCCAGCTGCGATTGCAGGCTAGCCTGGGTCTCGYTGCTTTCTGATTGCTTTACTTTGGTGTGAGAAGGTCTCCTCTTAGCTTGCACAACATAAAACAGCCCTGGCAAAGATAAACCCAGCCTCTGAACACGCTGCACTCTGCTTCATCCCAGAATAAACTGCAAATAGCAACTGGTTGATTATGCAGGGCAAGAGACTACCAAAGAGGAAGACYCAGAAAGAGTTAAACAGTAAGACTAAGATTTCTCAGTTAGGATAATGATGGAACATTGTTGGATTTATTATTCCAACATCAGTGGAACAAGAAGGGCAGGATCAGCTGGCTGTCACTGCTGACAGGAAAGGAAAGAGGCTGGATTCCATTTAGAAATCAAAAGAGAGGCTGATAGATGGGAAAAGCCATGGTAAAAGCTGGAGAACTTTGGCATTCATGTGAGCATCTTTTCAGGAATAGGGCAAAGGTCTAAAATTCGTCCTGGAGCTCCTACTGCAGAATAAAGTAACCCTCATTCCCAAGATGACTTTACTATGGCGTCTCCTGAGGCAAATGACAAACATATTTTTCTCACATTGACACAGTTTGCAGTAACTGAGATCTACAAAACAGATCTCTGAACTGCACACACTGGCTGCCTGTAGGAGTCTGGAGGGAATTCAGGGTGTCAGTCTGGAGTCCTCAATATTTAACATCAAATCACAGGAGGACTCAACTCTTCCCTCTAAGCTGAGTGTTCAAACTTGCAATTCCTTGATCATAAACAGGAAACAACAGGGCAGCGAATGTGTCTCAGCTGGGACTAACTTTTCTTGTTTTTTTTTTTGTTTTGTTTTGTTTTGTTTTAGGAACCTAAGCCTCTTAATATTCTGCACCATATTTTTCCTCTCTTGCAAATATGAGGGGAACTGGGAAGAAATGCTGGGGTGCCTGATGCAAGAACTTGTTATTTACGGCTTGTGGCTTTACCCTGCTATGAACCCTACTTTGACATTATGCATTGTCAGCTTGTGTGATRCTGTGCAGACCCTGGAGCACAAGGGCTAGTGTTTTTCATTCGGGAGAAAGGAAAAAATTAAGTATGAATCAAAATGACACAGTCAAGAGATGATAGGAACAGTTTCTTTTGGACCAATTACAATGGGGAATCAAACCAAAATGTTGATATTCAAGTGGTGGTTGGGCCAGTAAGGCTTCATTTGTGGGATCASGGAAAACATGGTTGGACCTCTGTTCATCTATCTCCCTGCCTAAGAGATAGGTTAATAGTGAGAGATGGGCACTAAACTAAATGACAGCAAGCTGGTAAAGAGACATGATTCTGTATGAGGATGAACAACATCAACTGCAGTTCATAGCCTGGAATTCTGACTTTCTGCTAACATACGGAAAATCCAGAGGAATAGAGATAAATAGAGCTCTTCTTTCTTTCATTGCACATGCCCTCAAAAGAAACAGGGCAGCAAATTATCCATGACTCCTAATTGATGACATTACTAATGGCCACTTCTTTTCCTTGATACAAACGGGAGAACAGATGCTCTGCCACCTGTGGGCTCCCCTCTTCAGGCTCCTTTCTCCCAAAGGACAGAATAGGGAAAGGACATTAACATTGTATATAATTTCTTCGCTGACACCTTTTAACTCAAGGCAGATGAAAACTTACCTGAAATTTTGCCATGTGCTGAAAAACCCACTCCAAGTCTCAGTGGGACAGTAGCCACCAGGCGCTGTGCTACCACTAGAGATGCCCTCAGCCCTGGCAGCCAAGCCCCTGGGAGCAGGGATGCTCTAGGGYCCTTCATTTTGTTTACTGAAACACAGTGCTTCTTGCATACAACTGTAACAGCGCAGCTAGCAAACTGCTAGCTTTTATTTTGTTTTGTTTTCCCTGAAATCCTGTACTTGTGGAGGCATTGTGAGAGACAGCAATAAAAGCTACTTACCTGGGCATGAGTGTTCTTTCTCGAAGAGGCAGTTATATTGGAATAAGAGCTGACAGATGATGTGGTGTTCAAATCATCCGTGCTGAGGTTATCAAGAGTGTCACTGAGGCCACTGCTTACTGAGCTGCTGTCATCCCAGCTGCAGAGAAAGGAGCACATCTGCTTTATAAACTGCATGTCAATAGGCAGAAAGTGTCTCAGAAGCAATAGATGTTACTACTTCTTTTTCAAGACTAGAAAACTTTCCGTATTATTTGCTAAAGTACAATGAACATGACCTTATAATTAATACTTCACTCACTGTCAAGTGGTTGCTTGTTCAATTAATGAAAGACGCAGACACCTTTTAAAAATTTAACACCTGATCTAAGCAAGTAATAGCACAAGCTATTAGAAGTGTAAGTCATTAAAACAGGTTGTTTCACGCTTCATTGTTATCACATTCAGTATACTGGCAGGGAAATCCATTAAACCTACCTAGTATTGTGAACCAACACATTTTTAATAGCTTGGAGAACACCTAATGCATTTCCAGGCTACAGAAAAATAAAAGAAATCTCTCTTGTGCAGCCTAATGAACTGTCAACCACGAAGCCAGTATTTCCAACAGTTTTATTTTCTGTCTTTAGCTTTTGCCTAGTCATCAGTGTCATCAAAACAGGATTTCTTGACATTACAGTCACCATAGTTGATACCATGCAGAACACGTTACACATCTCATAAGAAACATGCTGTCAATCTTGCTGCCTTGGGACATTTAGGCTGAGGATGTAAATGAGAAAAAAAGAAAAGGCTACTTTTATTGACATGCCATTCAGCTATCCTCACAAGAGTCTTGTTTCTTTCACGGCAGGAAGGCAGGGGGTTGTTTCTGTACACAAATGCTCGCCATATACATCATGATCATTAGGCTATTGACATTTGGGAGAAAGTCACACTAACAGCTTACATGCAACACTACAAAAGTATACTCCCAGTTTTGTTGCACCTCCATCTGTTAATCTTGGTCTGAATTCTTCTCAGGTCACAGAGTTTTAACAATACCCACTTTATCATGTGCAGTGGGATGCATCCCTATAGCTTTAGCTATATAAAAGTTATATAAAAGGTAGGTGTCTCATTTAAGTTATCTGACTAAGAGCTCTCTGTAACCAATAGAATGACACATGCTCCTCTAGGAGCCTGTCCTACAGTATGAAGCACAAGCTGCTCACTGGAGGTGTCTCTTCTATTATCCCCCTTTCTGAGGGAAGATTGATTAAGCCTGTTCTAGCCAGATAACTCACAGAGGAACAAAGCCAGGTGGCATGGATTTGGACACAAGTAAAGCTGAAAATGCAACAGATAGGTTTAAATATCCTTGTTTTGTTGTAGACTACGTCAAGAGCTGCCTTTGGGTCATATTCTGCAATTTCAAAAATAAAAAATCTGAAATTCAGTACAACAATCTCATTGAAGCTGAGTACTACTACTACTAGTCATTCTTAGCAAATGAGGAAAATGCTTGTGAATGATTATTTTACATGTGATGTTTTGGGAGGTTAAACTCTCTTGTCCACTTGCTTAAGGAAGGCTTTACAAAGTCATTATAGCAGCGACTGTGAACTGCACGCGACAGGGTGCGTGCAACGCTGCACAGTTCAGCGCTCTGGTCTTGTATCGTAGCAACTGCTGCAGACATCACGCTGCTTGGGCTAAAGGTAGGAAATCACATTAGCAAGTGACCTCAGTGACAGCATAAACGTGTTTCAGAGGGCAAGGGCTTATTACAGTCCTCTGCTTTCTCCTGTTTAGCACATGACTACAAATAAATGCATCTTTTGAAACATTACAAGGTAATATGTATGAGTGATTCCAGAATACAATTTCATATCCATATTCAACTGCTGTATCATACCTTATAGACTGCCCACATTCATCTAAGAACCATCTCTGAAGCAGAAGTCATTTTGACTGTCTGCATTTTGTTCCCAGCCTAAAAGGACATGAAATTTCATAGATGCAAAAAGTAATTATTCAAACATTATGCAACTACCCAGGAATGTACTATGGACAACAGCGTTAAGAATGATAAGAACATAAATATTTCTAAATATGGGTAAGTTTTACATAAGATGATTTTAACTCACAAAAATACATTTCAAGACAGAAAAAATCAGAAACCAGATCCAAGACGCTGAATATTTTCACAAGCAATGCTGAACATTTAAGGTACGGAGTATGAATTCCATATGTTAATATTTGACTGTCTTTGATTATTTGAATATTTGCAATATTTGAAATCTTTAATACTTGATTACCAGTTTCCTGGATCTACTCTAAGAATTGTGGACAAAGATCATCACCAAAATCTCCACTTTTCATTCTTTATTTTATTCCCTTTTAATTTTGCTACCTTATTTTATTCTCACAAATCTCTGTATGGAGTTTCAAATTTTCTGAATTCTGAAATAATGTTTACAATTTACGAAATAGAAATTCAGAATTTGTTGTCAACAACTCAAGTTTTCAGGCAAAAATGACTACTTGGATCATATTTCCATTCTATTATGGCTTTTTTATAATGCACACACATAGAATCATAGAATCATAGAATGGTTGAGGTTGGAAGGGACCTCAGAGGTCATCTAGTCCCTCTAGTGTCACCTGGGCGGCATCCAGGCGGGTTTTAAAGATCTCCAGAGAAGGAGACTCCACAGCCTCTCTGGGCAGCCTGTGCCAGGGCTCTGTCACCCTCACTGTTAAGAAATTTTTCCTTAAGTTCCTTGGAACTTTTGGTGCTTCAGTTTGTGGCCATTTCCTCTAGTCCTGTTGCTGGCCACCACTGAAAAGAGGCCGGCCCCTCCTCCTCACTGCCTCCCTTGAGGTATTTATACACACTGATCAGGTCCCCCCTCAGCCTCCTCTTCTCCAGGCTGAACAGGCCCAGCTCCCTCAGCCTTTGCTCACAGGGCAGATGTTCCAGGCCCTGATCATCYTYGTAGCCCTACATCACACCTCACTCACCAGTGGTTTATTAGTAGGTTCAGGAAACACTTCAGGGTCATCTTGTAAGCTAGATAAAAGATTAATTTGACACCTCCACTATTGACTTCAGAGTTGTCACTATATTTGCTTAGAATTTTTTTCTCTGATGATAGGTGCTTTCTAAATTTAGTGGGGTTTCATATCCCAAAGTTTTCGCTTATTTGCAGCCTGGCTGTAAAAACAGAAGAATTTGAAACTGCTTTCTCCTGTGAGTAACATCATTATGAAAAAAATATATAGTAAAAATGTAATACTTCTGCAAAACAGACTATATCAGTCATTCTCTCAGCAGTGAAGATCGCTGTCTTGTGCTTCTTTTAGGGCTTTGACAACAGCTAATCATTCTTTTTTCCTGCAACTAAGTCTCTTCTCTTTTAGTACATACTATTACCACATTTTCAGTAGTGTCTCACTATGTCTAGACAACATACTTGCTACCAGATAAACTAATCTAATTTTTGGATAGGGAATAATTCTTATTTATTTATAATGTGGGAAATTTCTTGACGAATGATTTTGAGCTTTTCTTGTTTTCTATCAGACACATGACAAATGACCCTGGTAACATTAGATGTGCATTGCCTTGAGATGGATTGCCTAACAATTCCTGTTAGTTGGCTGTAAATTCTTCCTGTTATTTTTATTCTTGTTCCAGTATCCATTGTCAAACTGATCCAAAGGGACTTTAAACAGGCTTTGAATACATTGAGTAAGATTTATCTCATTTTCGTTTTATCTTTTGCTTACTTTTTTTCCTTTCTCATGCATCCTAATAGATTATGACATATTGGGTTCCCACTATCTGTTTCTGAATGCCTCACACCAATCCCCATTATAAAGCCACCTTTCAGCTACTAATAAATCTAGAAAAAAACCTGCTGATTTATTTTTTGTTGATTCCTTCAAAAGAAAATTTCAGCAAATACRGTTTTGCTTTTTGTGAGAATGAGGCTAAGTGAAGAAATGTCTTGTTTTGACAAGCTCCAGCAGCCTTTTCTCTGAGAAATCCTAAGATCCCATGAGGAACTGGAGAGGAGTCTTGAATTTTAGCAGGCTGTAATCTTAACATTAAAGATGTGCACTTTGCCGTTTCTGAGAAAAAATCCACACTCAAACTTGGATAATTTACACATCTCTCCAGAATCTTGTTTGCATCCTGACACAGACTTTGTAGGCTTATTGCAGCCACCTGTCCAAGTTTCTAGCCAGCCAGGCAGGCACCAGGTCAGCTCAGGGTGAGGAAGGCTCCCGAGTTCTGTGCTCAAACCAGCAAACAGAGTAAGCAGCAGCCCAGCACTCAGCTCACTGTAAATGCCTGGACCACAGTTTTAGATAACACAATCGCATACTATTTTTTTTCTCTAGGAATGTTTCATTAATTTATCGTCCACATGTGGTCTGCTCTGGTAATGAATCTGAATTTTATATTAAACTAAGCATCCTGCACTCATTCRGTACAGAAGCCGAATGACTTCTGTAACAAGAGGGACTGTGTGAAGGATGACTGAAGTCCTCGCTGCACCAGGTGCATCCTACAAGACATTAGGTGACYGCTTTAACCAAAATTTTTAACAAACTGGACACTTCAAAACTTAATATCTGCTTAATACAAAGATGCTACACATGCAGATATCTGCTTTGATCATACTGTGCTATATGGGAATGTACTCTCTCAAAAACTGGACTAACACTAACATTTTAAACTGTGTATCCAACACTAGTAGCGATTTTGTGACCAGTGTGCCATAATCTTTATCCAGAAATTTACCTCATGCTCCTTGAGTTTGCACTAATATCATCAATACTCTTTCCATTCAAAACACTTCTGGTTTAAGCTTTCCTTGACACACCAGTGTGACTATGAGGCCACTTACTCTAGCTAAAATTCATCCCCTTCCTCTAGCTTGGCTCATTCAAATCCTGTTCTGAAGCCAGAGGTTACTCTTCTACTGAAGCAGACTACCACTTGCCAATTGTCTCTAATTGCAGAAGGTGGCTATGAATATTGTACAAATCCCTATGTTCCTGAAATTGTTCCAAATGCTTCATGCAAGATTCCAACCACTTGATCATTTAAACTATTGTGTGAAGTCCAGGAACCCACACCTTGCT